AGAATAAATAAACAAAATATAATATAAATTTAAAGGATTGTTCAGTTCACCTCGCACGCCATTATTACGAATAATTTTGAAAGTAGCTTCTTAAGCAACACAAAATGTCTAAAGAATCGCCTGCTTATTTTCTCCTTATAGTGCTGGTCAGATAACCCACTGATCACAAGGCCATATCGGAAACAAAAGCACTGTAAAATTTTAAAATTTCGCCGTTTGACCCCTCGAATTTACGCTCGACTTTGGACTCGCATAAATTCACGCTTCCGCACTTATAATAAGTCACTTTTGTGCTCGAGTGCAATCTCGTAAAACTCGCGAGATCTCGCCCATTTTTAGACCGAGATTAGTCTCGTTAAAAAAGGCCGAGATCTCGTGAGAACGAGATTGCATTCCCTACACATCAATCAATGGGTTCAACAACTTCTTTGTATGTATGTTATTTATTTTATGAGTTTATATAAATTTATTGAGTAGGTATATTGTAAGTCTCGTATCAGACAGAATCACTGTCTTGTTACAAGGTTCAAGTTGGTATTTTAAGATGGCATATATTAGTTCTGATATCATTGGTTGCATCTCATTACTCATATACAAGTTGTTGGGTTTCTATATAAATATGGGTCTTGAACGAGATATTCGCGATGTGAAGGTGTGTTTTGTATATTAATAATTCTCAAATTATTTTACATGTAAGTCGGGAATTAATTTTATCACCATCTTTTTTAATAGGGTTGCATCAGTACTCGGTTTATTTTAATTTAAATAAGCCATAACATAAATTTTTCGGGAAAATAAATACGTTATGTTACATTAAATTTTAACCAAAATTTAAAAGTTATTAATTAATATATACAGTTTATAGTATATATCTATAAAAGCGAAAGGTCACTCACTCACTCATCAAGAAATCTCAGTAACTAAAAGTGCTTGAAGTTTCAAATCTTGCATGCGGGTTTAATCTTGCTTTTTAGGAAGTATGTGCTCACTAAGACGGGATTTTATGAAATTCAGCCTATAACAGGGTAAATTAGGGGATAAAAGTTTGTACGGAACTTCGTTACAAGTGCTAGGAGAACATAGGTGCTTACCTGATTTTACGAAATTAGCCTAGAATCTAGGAGAGTTCTTTTGAAGATCCAAGATTTTAAGTCAACCAGTTAGATGCAATGTAATTAATAATTAAATAAAGTTTATTCTTCTTGGATTCGGTAAACGCTATGGAAATATAGTCAAGTACCAGTGGTTAATGTTTATAACGCTGCATTACATCATTTTGGTACCTGTTAACCCGCTATCTGGAATGAATAGATAAAAAGTTTCAAATATATGTGGTATCCATCATGTCTAGTTTAAGAGGTACATGTCAATCATTATTTTAAATACCCTCACTTTAGGCGTTGCATTTTAGGGTTTAAATATATTATATCTTTTTATTGCTTTCTTTTATTTATAAATCGTTTCTATGAAATATATTTATGTAAACATTAAAAAGCACCTCATTAGATGGCGACTCTACCAAAAGTAGATTTTTACAAAAAACTAATGGGCCAAAGATAGTCATTTCCGTTTTCTTAACATGTACAAAAACTGAAATTTTGTAAGTTCGGAACTCAGATGTCAATATAAATACGAAAGAGTACAAATAGAATATGAGATGTTTATTGAGTTTTAGAAATTATTTTTTTATACATGTAAGAAAACCAGAAGGATTGTCACGGAGAAATCAAGAAAGTACCGTAGCGACATCTAGTTCAATTTCGGGAACTAATGTTTTTTTTTTTTTAAACATTTCCTCATTGTTACAAAGAAATGGCTTCAATCAATACAAATTTTGAAAACATATGTTATTGTAACGACATAGAAACATTAATGAGTTAGTTGAACATTCCTTACGTTACACAAGACTAACTTTATTCTTTGATGATTCAAAAACAACTCTGCTGGCGGTATTGTTGCACTATAGTAACAAGTATGCGTCGGTACCAATAGTTTATTTTAAAACATATAAAAGTATTAAATCAATACTAGATTTGATAAAATACAAAGGTTTTAGGTGGAAAATGTTTGCTGATCTCAAAGTTATAACTATTTTACTTAGACTATAGGGTATATTTATTTAATAATTTTCTTTGTTTGTGGGACAGCCGAGTCACTGAAAAGCACTATACTACAAAATTATGGCCTGAACGGTCTGAGTTTGTTTGCGGAAAAGCTAATGTGAGAGATACACCGTTAGTAGACCCTAAAAATATGACTACCATATAACTTGGTCTGATGAATAATTAAAATTAAATTTAAAAAAGTGAAAATTTATTGGTATAATAAAATCGATTGATGTAAAGAAAATCTGGTCCATTCTATTAGTTTTATTTAAATTATGTCTGATTCTTTTAATTTTTAGTAGTATAATTTGGCACATCCATCATCCACATGGAAAAAATGAATCGAGAAAATAGAAAAAAAAACATGTATGAATTCTTAATAAAAGATAGGAATAAACATGATATTTCAAAGCGGGTACTTATTTTTTTATTTTATTTGTAACGCAGTGTAATTATTATTTATTTATTTACTTTGTGTATCAGTAAGTAAGCATAAGTAGCCTTTGTGCCTACATTATTGCACATTAGCTCTTCTGAATGAATGTTATTCATTTAAATCTAATTATAGACACAAACGATACAGTGTTATGCGAAGATTTGAATCGTTTCTTTGTTTTATAAAAGGGCTGTGTTAATTTTCAAGACCGCGTCATTAAAATAGCTAAATTTAGGTATTTGGCGATAATGATCTGCGGTTACGATTCTATCGTTTGTGCAATTTTACTTTTACAAGGGGATAAGTTTTGAGATTTTGTGTTTGTGTTTGTGTGATCTTCGAGTCCCACGTTGGGCGCCAGTTTAAAATAGGCTAGCTTAGATTGTCACATTATCCGATATGATATGAGTATAACACTGAAATATGTTCATATTCGGCGAACGGATCTCGTGATGCTTGGTTTGAGTTATAAATGCAAGACGAAACGTAAATTTATTGAAATAGATTCAAATACTTATTGTTAAGTTATTATTAGAGACGAGAAGAAAATTAATTAATAGTCATGTATGTGGGCTCAACAACATTACGTAGCGCATTCCAATCAAATCATGCATCTAATAAACATTGAAACTCCGAGTATGCCAATAAATCAGCTACTAGAAGTGATTTCAGTGAGTGACAGCTATTCCTTCTGAAATTTTTAATTCCCTATCTTCATGTTTTCGTCATACAGTAGTATATTTGTTAATATGTGTTTGTTATATGCATGTTTGCAGGTTGATTGCGGGCTTTGCGGTGTCTATAGCTTTCATACTCATCGAGCTAACTACATTTATCCTTGGACTAACCATGTTCTCACCCACTGTCTCACTGATATGTATCCTTTTCTGCTAATTGTTCGTTTTCTTTGTAGTTTTTTTTAGTTTTTAGTCTTTGTTTTAGTTTTTAGATGTTTCTATACATATGTTATCTAACATTAATGATATAATAATCAGTAAATCGGTGCAGTAAATGATAAAGATTGATGGTTTGACACGTAATGTAAATATGGATATGACTCCGAGATATGATGTTAATATTCGTTAGGTCTAGTACATGTATTAATTAACGAACGTAATAAATTTAAGTTTTGACTATTTTCAGATTTGTTACTACATATTAACAATATTTATTTAAATTCCGTGATCGCAGACATATCCATAATAAGACACCATGTCTTAAACAGCAGGAAAAATTTGTAGTGGAGTAAAGTAATCTCTACAGACAATTCGATAATCTATATTTGACATTTCTAAAAAGATCATCGAACTTATTAACGTCGTGTCGCGTAATAATAACACACGCCCATCTTCTTTAATAATACTGAATTGATTCGAATTGGTTCAAGCACGTGATTCTAAATATGGAACAGACTTTGCTTATAGAGAAACTGTAACTGATACGCAATTTATTATTAGTGAAGTGAAATATTATGAGCTGCTATTGTTTTATTTTTGCTTTCTTTGGTATTACAAAAAAAAAAAAATATCTTCAGTCTATTATGATCTACTGGGGCTTTCATAGCCTTTCCTATAGATGGAAACAATTAGAAGACGAGACATAACCCCCAAGCGGGCCAGGTTTTGTGGATGTAAGCCGCTGCAGATATAGCCAGCGCTGTGCTATTTTTTACGTAAGAATTGTATCTCAACTACTTGAATTTTGCCACTGTACTATCTACCTGAAGTCCAACATTATATATAGGCAAACCGTAGGAGCTCCCTATTTAATACTAAACTCGTCGAAATCAACTGATAATGCATCAAGAATTCAAGACTTAAATAGAAGACATCGTATTTTTGGATGTGTATCAGATAATTTGTAAAATCATGATGGACAAAGTCAATAAGTATTCTTCGTTTAGTGATTATTTATCATCGTTTTTTAGTTCTTAACGCATATAAAACAGTTAAGAGCTGCAGCTCATCACTTAGTATCTACATCATGAATTGTTTCGTCCTCGATAACGTTCCTTAAACGTATATAACAGCGATCGGCGGACACGGGGCAGCGTCAATTGCGCTCACGTATTTCGTGATTGACGGGTGGCTGTGCGACTGGTTCTGGCCGATATTCGCCGCTTGCTCTGTGGTGCCATGCTTGGCAGACTTGACGATTGCCCTGTTGACTTTGTGCTCTAACAAGTGGTGATACGGTGCATTTTGAGCGTGTATACTGGACTACAGTTTTAGTTAAGGTTATAGTTATATTAATAAGAATGGCATTCAAGAAGCTAATGCTCCGATTTTTTGTAAGTTGTCCTTTGTTAAATATTTTATGGCTAATAAAATTAAAATGCAAAGAAAACTACGAGTATTTGCATATTATGTGAACACTAGATGTATTTTATTATACTCCAATGTTTTTTAGCGCTGAAATGTAAATGAAGAATTGAAATAAGCGAATGTTATTGGTTTTAGATTACCAATGAGCTTCAGCAGCTAACACCATCGAACGATTATAAGCCAGGATGGTCCTTCTACTTGATCTTGGCTGGAGTAGCGACTACGCTTGGCTTGTCCCTGCCCGTTGGATACAATATAGGAGTTATAAATACCTCTGCTATGGTAAATATGTTAATTAGAAAGTGTATACAAATGAATTTAAATATGCACGACAAAATGTTTACATCTTGTAGGCTAAGGTATAAATACAGAAAGTTCATTATGTCACCTCTGAAGAGAATTGTCATCGACTATATTACAAAAGTGCTTAGATTTGGTGCTATATAAAGCTGAACATTTGGCATTTTATCAAGACATCATATACATTTTTTCTTATAAACAAGATCAGACATTGATCAAGTCCCGAATGAAGTAGCTGAAGCACTAGAATTATGGAAATCTCTAACAATAAAGGCACTAACGCCGCACGCTTCAATGCACTTTACGATTTACGAAAAACTAACGTCGGTAGGTCAAAAAAAAAATGCCGGAGAGAACAACAGCTGCTGAGTTGTAAAACAGTCGCCAGGTTAGCGAAAGGCACGTGGTGAAAAGTTTGGGTTTCTAATCTTGTTCTAGTACCCGAGAGTATTTGTCATTATTGTTTGTGATTGTTGCAGTTGATTAAGCAATTCTGCAACGAGAGTGTGATAGCCCATTACGATGTAGTCTTGGACAAGGGATGGCTGGACATGCTATGGTCGACAGTCGTGTCCATATTCATAATAGGCGGTTGTACCGGTTCGCTTCTTGGTGCTGTTCTCGCCGATTACCTCGGAAGGTATGTGCTTAACATTTAGCTCGATTTTCAGACGGTTGTTGGATTCAAAAATTAAAAACTTTTGATTATTTTTCAAGATTTTTTGTTAGGTAGTTTACTAGTTTTCACTCCGTTTCTACTGTGCTATTGAATTACTTAAAAATTGTGACAATGATTTATATGTATATGTTATTGAATTGTAGGAAGAAGTCGATAATAACTGTGAGTGGGCTGTCAATAGTGGGCGCGATGCTTTTCGTCTTCTGTCGTGTTGCGAACTCTGTGGAGATGCTTCTACTGGGCCGATTATTGGTCGGACTAGCGGCAGGTAACAAAGACTTATGTATACTATTGAACAAGTTATTTAATAAGTACGAATGAATGAATGTAGGAACACTTAATTGTACTTGAAAAGAAAAATCAACATAACAATAGCAATAAACAGTACAATAAGTATCACATTTTTGATATTAGCATGCAACATATTTAATCGACTAACCTACAATGTTGACTTGTTTTGTTCTCACACTACATATGTAAAAAGATTACTGAGTCTCTTTGATTGTAGCAATGATCAGTATATGTTAAATATATATAGCTGTTAAATATATATATTTTTTCTTTTAAGATGTCCTCTAGGTTACATTAATAAACGATCAATTTGTGGGGATTTGTAATTAGCATATGAATACTTTACTATGTAGCGTAATGTTTTTATTTGTATGTAAATCTTTCTAAAAATGCGACTTTGTCAGATCTAAGGAGGATGGGTCATGACCCTCCATGCTAGCTCAATGCGGATTGGACGTTATTGATGAGTGTAGATGCAGACTCAGGATCCAACGGCTTAACGTGCCTTCCGAAGCACGGAGTAGCTCTAAATTTGTTTGGTCACCCATCTCGCTATCGGTCTTTGCGAAAGTTGCTCAGCAACAACGATCGCGGGTCACGGCGCTTATACACTACGCCACCGAGCTACTCCACTGTGTAGTATGCGAGGGTTCAATTTATCTGATTGTGCCTTTAATTGGTTGTTAGGTTTGACAACGAGTATAGTGCCCATGTACCTGACGGAACTGGCCCCGCTGAAGCTGTCAGGCACCATGGGCATCGCGTGTCCCATGGGTGTCAACGTCGGTGTACTGGTGGGGCAGGTCATGGGGCTCAACTTCTTGTTGGGTGAGTTGATTGGTTACTAGACCCCGTTATCGGAGGTGCTATTATTTGGAAGCGGTACGTATTTAGAAACGGATGAAAAAAAAAATGTACATTTTTTGAAAAAATGAAACAACAAACGGTTTCACCGCGTTTTTTTTTATGGAATTGGGGGCAGTCGAGCAGACGGATCACCTGATGGTGAGTGATTACCGCCGCCCATTTGTATTAGTTTTATTGACGTTTCGGACCCTTAACAGGTTCTGTGTTCACATAAGACTAAGATGTTGATTGTCTTTTTAATTAAAAGTATCTTTAAAAAAGAAATACTATTAGACACATTCACAGTACAAAAAAAAAAAAAATTACAACGTTCACATTTATTCAATGGAATTATTTTAAAAATAGATTTGACTTATTTATTTACCCTGGCTACCGTAATCTACCACCGTAATCGTACCGTAATCAAGAACTGGCGAAACAAACTCCGACAAGAAAAAGTGAATTGCTCCCTTTTATTTAATATTTACCGAATGAACTAAATGTATCTTTTGGTTTTGCAATGTGTGAAAATTAACACGTTTGTCTTTTTGTTTAATAAATTTGTTAATTTTATTTTTAATACAATAAAATTTATAATATAATATAATACAATAAGTATATAATATAATATAATATATTTAATAATATAAGTTGTTTTTTTTGTTTCAGGCGGTGTTGATGATTGGCCTTATCTATTATCCGTTTACGTGTTGCTAGTCATTTTTTGTTTACCCATGCTCTTTATTTTACCCGAAAGTCCAAAGTATCTATTTGTTATTAGGAGAGACGAAGAAAACGCTTTAAAAGGTAAGTTGTAATTTTTTATGAATAACTATAGTATTTCTATAATTTTAAAATACTATAAACAAACTGTTTTCTTATACCTAAAAGCTGTTATTATGTACTTGTTTTTATTAATTTATAGCTTGCTAAATATGGTGGTCATCTGTGGTTGTATTCTCGGGTTAGGTTGGGTTTTATTTAGTGATATTACAGTTGTCTGCTCAAGGGGAAAATTTAAAAAAAGAAGTTTTCGGATAAGACAATCATCAATTTTGAAATAAATTGAGAAAATTCACGAAAATTAGCATCCTTCTTCATCTACGACATTAGTGAAAAATTTATGAATAAAAAACATGCTAAAATTGTACCTATAAAATCTGCACTTCTAATATAAAATTTATAAAAAGTCTACAATTTATTATTTATATGAAATATTTGATTTCAGTTCGATTCACACTTTGCCAGTTTTTTGTTTTTCCTCTGACACCATCAAGAATTTTTGTTTGTCGAAAACATAATTCTAAATTGTTTTTTTTTTGGCATTGAATTCTTAACAGCTCTTAGTAGGTTAAGGGGCGTCTCTAATAGTGTTCTCGGTGAGGACGTGGAGTTGTTGAGGGAGGAATCTCGTACATCTGCGGATGGCGAAGAGAGCTGGAGCTTGGGCAAGGTGGCAGCTGATGGCAGACTGAGGCGAGCTCTACTAGTTGTGTGCGCTATGCAGGCGGGGCAGCAGACCAGTGGCATTAATGCGGTAACTATCACACTTATTTACCTACATTATTAGTTACTACTAGTGGCCGCGATATCGCGTTGAAAGCAGCTTAAATTATCCCTTATTACATAAGCTATCAGCCAGCGAAAGTCCCGTCAAAATCGATTCAGCTTTTCAGAGATTAGCCGGAACAGACAAGAAAATGACAAATGTATATATGGCATTTTAAATGTTTTATTTTTATGTTTTATCTCATATGTAATTCTTTATTAATTGTTCGTAAGGGCTTCATATATGTGTGTCAAATAAATGTATTTGATTGATTGAATTATGTATTTAGTGAAAAGCGGTTTTTTTAATATTACAAACAGATTTAAATTATATTTATTTGCACGTACAGATGTATGTATAATACTAGCTGTACAACAGTATTCCGTGGAATCGATAGTTCTATTGATGTTATGATATATGGTTTAACTATTAACACTTTATAATATTTTGGATCATTGTCCGTTTCCTGGCTTGCTCTAGAAAGAAAGTGATTTGTCATGTATCCATATTTTTTTTTCGTTCATTTAATATATATCAATAATTTTGAAACATTCAATAGCAAAATACAATCGTGTGTCTCGCGGCAGGTGTTCTACTACTCGCAGACTATATTCGAGCGCGCGGGTCTGTCCCCGAGCAGCGGCCAGTACGCCACCATCGGGTGCGGGGCCGTGAACGTGTGCACCGCGGCACTGATGGTGTGGCTGATGCCGCGCGCCGGCCGCCGCAAGTTGTTCCTGGCGTCCACCGGTGCCGCTGCGGCATTGCTCGCGGCACTGGCGCTCTCTATGCGGGCCATCGTGAGTGCATATATGTGTTCTGTGTCTGGGTGTTTTCTAGTTATATTTATATTTGCATTCCCCCTGTTTCTGATATCCGTAACAAAAGTGCCTAAGCTACTTACCTCGGAATCGGATCAATGTGTGTTATGTTGTCCGATATTTATTTATCTATTACGAGGCGTCCCCCGCCGCTCGTTATGTTATAACCTGTTATACTTAGAAATGTCAATGGTGGATCAACAAGCGGTTTTGTGTTATGTTCACAGATAAAAATAGTATAAGTAGTGATAGGCACATATTTTTATCGATGTCGATATTTCACATATCGATAAAAAACCCACGACGTTTCGCAATCCAGGTTATTGTTTTAATCACTGAGCTACCCAACACTAAACGGGACTGTCGAATTTTTCAAGCACTTTTTAATTTTTCGCTACTACAGTGCGTATTTTCATAAATGTTCAGGCAATCCACCCAAATAGCTGAAAGATATATTTTTAAAAAGGTCGTGGGTACGAGTCCCATCTCAGAGTGCCAGAGACATTTTTTAAGTATTTTTCATTAAGAATAACATATTGACTTCCAATTTTGTGCTTTATGGTAAATATTACTTCAGCACTAAAGGGGAATGGAAAAGAGTTTACTTAATCTTGTGGGGGTCGAAAAGAGTCCAGTTAGATTGTGTTATGTCAAAAGTTTTTTTTTATATACATCAGTTTTTAATCCTATTATGAATTTCATAAACAGTAAACAGAGGCTAGGTGAATTTCCTCTATTGACAAGGGTAACTAGAGGGTTTGGAAGGTATTAATGACTGCACATGCAGCCGGGACCAACGTGCCTTCTGAAGCACGGAGTAACTTGACATAATAATTTTTTGGTCACCCATCCCATGCCTGACCCTTGCGAAAGCAACGATCTCGGGCCGCGGTGATTAACTCTACTCCACCGAGCTACTCGACTTTGTATACTTATTGTGATATTATGGTGACAGACGTTGGTGAGTTGGATGCCGTACGTGTGCATGGCGGCTGTTCTCGCGTACGTGTTGGCGTACGGGTTCGGTCTCGGACCGATACCATACTTCATTGCATCGGGTGAGTAGACATGTACTATCCGGCTCGAAGGACCAATATTTGCGAAGTTCACATCCACATATTATAATTAATTTTATAATTAATAAACAAGTTAATTTTGCAAGAACAGAATATACTTACAATTTATTTTAAATTAAAAAAATGCAACGTAACTATTATGTAAAATTTTCAACATATGTAGATATTTCATAATTTATTGTTATAACTGTTAAGTAGCTAATAGGATAGGGTATTCTACTCTTTTTGATATAGTACTTGTAAGTGTTTATTTTAATTAAAAAAAGCAATTAAACAAATATTTCTGATAAATAAACACGTTCTCTTGCCTTAAAATCAAATCAAAATTTAAACTTTCATTATACCCGCGAGAACGCCATCCGTCATATACATGACGTCATTGTGATATGTACACAAAACAGATACATAGAGTAGAAGATTAATAGATGTCAATAAAACACGAATAATGCCATCTAACGATCGATTACGAAATATAAAGATATAAATAAGCTAAGAACACTGCCATCTAGGGATTCGACTTATAATTAATAGGCATATCTTTGTGATTAATCAGACAGCAGTTGAAACAGTGATGTCACATAATGACGAGTCGTGTTTCAAGCCACGTGACTAACAGACAAAAAACCACGACTTTTAATTTTAAGATTATAAGATTGTCATGCGATTCTATATTGTAGTTTTTGTGCAATTTTGTGATTTATTTTTCACTGCCGACACTACCCTGTTCTAATGTTATCGACCATTAAAAGTTTTAAATAACATACTCTGTATACAGAGATGTTCGAGGTGGGTCCGCGTCCGGGCGCGATGGCGTGGGGCTCGTTGTCCAACTGGGGCGGGAACTTCCTCGTGGGCATGACCTTCCCCACGTTACGGGACGCACTAGGACCTTACTGCTTCCTACTGTTCGCGGCCCTAACCGCTGGCTTGTTTGTCTTCGAAGCGTAAGTATATTTTTTATTATCAATATTCACGTTAAAAATCTATACTTTTAGCTTATGAATTTTATCGAAATCGGATTAGTAATTTTGTTTTTATGACAAGATTTTTGGAAGCGTCTAACCAAAACCTAAATTACTCAAATGACCTATTTACATCTTTAAAAAAAATTAAAAATGGTGTATTTTGAATTAGTATGATTTCTATGACACCTATTAAATATCGTTACATATATATTTTTAAATAGAACCGACTTAAAACTTTAAGAAAACTCTGAAATAATACATATCTTTAAAGCGGTTTAATTATCCAACAAATTGCTATTGAAGAAAACATTATTTGGATTGTAATATTTGTAGGTTTTGTCTTCCGGAGACGAGCGGCAAGACTCCTGCGCAAGTCGCGGAACTTTGCTCACTAGGCCGCCGTCGCCATCCACGCCTTCCATAACTTATTCAAACACTGCCTAAGTACTTAACATAGTTTTTTAAGTATAGTTTATGTTAAAGACAAAGGAATGTCATACGGCCGCTATCTCTAGTTATTTTATTTTATATAAAAAGGCAATTAAGTCATTTACATGATTTTTATAAACGGTGTGAGGTTATTCTTATAGAAAATAATTAATCTCTCCATTCAAGTTTCTGAATTTGATATTAGCACTAATATGCATTAAATTTACATTAAACAAATGATTTTGAATTATATAATAGATAAAAATTGAGGATTATATACATGTAAACAGTTCTATCCTGTTATGGCAGCGGCTTTGGCTAAAGATCAGCTTTGCAATCTTACACAGAGAGAACTAATGTAATAAATGTGATAAGAAAGTGCTTTTTCATACATTATGATGATTAATAAGAATATGTAGCTTTTATATATGAGATACTAGTAGAATCTCCATAGGTTTGCCTTTTAAGTAGAAAAATTTTGTTATTTTTTTTATTTTGAAGATGTTATGTCTGTTATAGTAAACTCGAATATTTTGAATAAATCCCACTAGTCGTCCAGGAGTATCGCTTCGACGTTTAAGGAATTTATTTAACTTATTTTTTTAATCATATTATGTACACGCGGCTGCACGTTAGACTATGATAATATACAAAATTTCCTCAATTGATTTTGAACTCTGCCTACAACGCATTAGGTTTAAAATAAAGTGGAATATTATGACAGAATTGTAGTCTGACGTGTCGACTTAGTACAATAAATGCGAGTACTTAATTTTTATTTACATTTAAGCTAAGTTATCTTAGTGAATAAACTGCCAAAACTGAAAGCTGGAATTTATCTCTACGGTTCGTTCAAATCGAGTTTTATTGTTGTGATTTGAATTTTATGATAAATAAATAAGGTTTAATTTAGAATAATTCTCTAGGCAGCTATTGGGTAATGGTGCTTAATATATTACGTATGAGGTTTATAATGTAAGCTACATCTATATGACAAAATCTAATAATAAATCATCTTCTAGTTTTTGGTGATGATTTAACTTTAATTTAAATATTTAAGAACGAAGTTGTATTAGGTAAGAATATTTCGGGCCAGGTACTAGAAGAACCCTGATTTGAGACATAAGGTGCGTTTCCCTTTATTTATGACTTTGGATAGTTTTATTTAATTATTATTGTTAAGTAGCACAAAGAATAAATATATGATTCCCTTTCTTTATATATTGTTTGTATCGCGTAGGTTTCAACTAAATTTCTTGCTTGGTTTTAAAGAAAAGCAAAAAAGAAAGCTCAAATTATACAAATAGGTATATATTTATATATAATATTTTAATCAAAAGGTATGATTTCGTGAAACGAATGATAAATATTAAAAAGAAAAGGTTGCATTCGGCTTAAAGTAATTTTAAGGCTTTGCATCAATATTTAGAACATAGTATATTGTTGTAAGTTGTAATCGTCCAAGTTTGTTGTTAAATTTCGCACTTACGGTTTTTTTTATAATGCATTAAAATGTTTTCTAGATAAATGCATAAACATTTTGAGTACAATTCTATTGTTTTATTTTATGTTATTGATTGGTTTCTGAAGGTAAAAATCATAGGTAAAAGTTAATGTAGTTTATAACATTAAGGCAAATTACGTAGCTTTTGATGGTGTTTGAAACTATGAAAATGTACATAAAAACTAAGATACGCTGTCTGTCTACAAATGCCTATGAAATGAAACTATGTTTTGTTTTTAAATAATATTTTTTAAAATAACTATATTCATCTAAAAACATAACATATGATAAAAAAGATTAACACTTAAACACCAAAAAAAGAGTATTCGCTTATACTTTGGGTCTTATTGTGTTGAAATATGATGATTTTGAATTGTGCTATCTTCTTAAGTAATCTTCTAGGAGTTTGAGCTGATCCCAGCAGACTAGCAACAATACGGTGTGAGGGCCAAGGCGTAAGTAGTTGGCAGCGACGCCCTAAAAATGTGAATAAAATATTTTACTGTAACAGGATAATACATTTTGGTAACAGTCTATATAGTGCACAGAGTACCTTGATATAAATACAAGCTATTTCATGCAGCTTCGCCCGCATAAATTACAGCCCATACATATTTCTGTAGGTGATATATTTTTTATGATTGGTTTGAAGATTAGCTCTTATAAGCAAACAAAGAAAGCTAGAAATTAACCACTACAATAGTAAGTATTACTAAATATTAATTAAAATGACTATCTATAGTCTGTTCCCTAGGGCAAGCTAAAAATCTGACATTGACCCAAAGTATTATGTGAGCGTTGAAACGATAACGAAATGTATTGCCATCCATAGAACTGTATCGTTTCCACGGAGTATTTTTCATTCTACGGGACTATATAGGCCACTGAACCTACCCCGTAAAACAACAGGCAGTACTCCGCGGAAACGATACAGTGTTCTATGAAAAGCGATATGTATCGTTTACTTTCAACGTTCACATAAAACTTCAGGTTATTCTCTGTTTTTCTCATACAATAGGAATAGAGTATATCTATATTAAACTCCAGATTCCTTGCAATTAGGTAGAGTGAACTGAACAAGCACGATTTTCACATAGTTTTAAATTTCATCTCGGACTCGGAAGACACAAAAATAATACGATTTGTAGGTGTATTGCTACTAATAATTATGCATTTTATACGATTAATCGCACGATACCAAGTCTGTTATAATTTCAATAATACCTTGTAGAGTGAGCGCGTGCCCTCTGTACGTATCATCTTCACAAAGCAATCCAGCATACCGTTGTATAACTTGCCACGATTCTGTGCGTCCACCGCTGAAAGGAGACACTATACTTTGATAGAATATCCATTATGCCTCTACTCTCGCACTAGGTAGTTGCTAGATGACCGAACTAGGCAAGTAACAATACTTAATATATACATAAATACTTCGTATCTTGTGATGTGACGTAATTTATTAATTATGTTTAGTTTTGATTACAAAATTCATGAATTAATAAGACCTAAGTCGCTGTTAGGCTACACGCCAGTTTAAAAGTTTGGTATAGATACTTATTTCTTGGTAGTACGCGTATGTAGAGTATCAGGATTAGAATGTAAAAATAAACGTAACTCTCACATAGATCATATAGTATTGAGCATTACTGTAATAATATAAAAAAAATTCAAGTTTAAAAAATGTTAGTCCTGCTTCTGACCGGATTGTCCCAAGCCAGTGTATTTGCTTGGGATTGCTACCGCCTAATTTTCTCTTCACAATAGTTAAGTAAAACATATTTCGACTTAAAGCCATTTTGGATATTATCCAGATTATACTCGTATTTGTGTCTTAATTAAAATCTGCACTGATTACATCGCTCACTGAATAGTACAGTGGCACAACTCAAAAACCATATTTCGAGAAACGCTCTCCGAAGTTAGGAAAATTTAATATATTTATAATTATGAAAATCATTTTTTTTTTAGCATAACAGTTACATCGTTTGTATTATATTATTACTGTTTTTTATTTTTTCTTTATATTATCTATGGGATGCTACCACAATGTTGTGGTGTTTTCTCGAAATAATGGTTTTTGAGTTGTGCCACTGTAATGTGCCATTCAGTGAGCGATATATACGAGTGAGTGAACTATATGAAATGTGATTATAGTATGCGCGCGTACTCACGTTGGTTAGACAGTCTAGTGGCGACGACATCGAACGGGTTAAGGCATAACGTCATTACAACGCCGCCCAAGTTGGCCGCGACGAACGAGAGACATAGAGGCGAGTCAACAAACACGCCGCGTTCCAACAGACTCTCCTTAGCGTACGCGAAGCTGACCATTTGGGAGCCGCTGCCCACCGCGCCGCGGGGGATCTGTGGCTGAACGCCGCGAAACAAACCTGATAGAAACTAAAGCAAGTGATCAATTGGCGTGTCGGCAATGATCGTAGTCTACCATTAATAGCTGTACGAAACGTTGTTACATAGCAATTAAAATAATGTTATGTTAATGATAATACAACATGTAGGACAACAGTGTAATTTTTTGTAAAAAATCTCTAATAAAATTTAATGAAACCGTATTGTTTTTATATTGTTAATAAAGTTATTTTATTATAAATAGTTCAATTTTCTAATAAATTATAATAAAGATAATAATGCATGGCATGTATTCTCATGAGTTTTCATAGTTTATAGGTACAGGAGAGTCACTATACCTCCCTTAGTATCAATATTCTGAACGGGTGGTAGACAAAAATGTTGGACAATTCAAAAGTACTTTTAATAAGCTAATTAACATTATTTTGGCGTTGCACCACAACTTAGTAGTTATAGATAAAATTAATCAAAGATCTTACCCTTGAACCCTTCGTTTCTGTAAATATCTACTAGGGCGGCGTAAGTGCCCTTGTGTTTGTGTTGATGTCCAACAGCTATAGATTGCGCGGCCTGGGCCTGAAGTCTCGTCTTCACCAGGAAGAATGGAGTGCCGGCAACAGACCCCAGCGCTCCCCCCACTCCTGCAGCTGCCGCCCCCCGCAATACAGATGTACGTCCTTTACCGTCCGATATCAACCCTCGACGCTCAGATATTCTGTACACTCCTAGTCTGCAATCATAAATAAATTTAAATACAAATCAAAAAACCATGTAGTCTAGAATAAAATTTTCGAAATTCTTTGTTTTTGGAATTTTAAAATTTTCTTAAAACAACTATGCAAGGTAAACTAATAAGACTTGCCTAAACGTGTTTAAGAAGAACTGGAATCCCAACATAGCCGGCAACCCATTTTGCAGCGCCACTAAGCCCTCAGTTCTTGCTATAACAAACAATCCATGGGGCACACTCCTGTAGAAAACGGCATGTTTCCCTTTAGACTTCATCTCTCCCTGCAATTGTAATCGGGTCTTCACCACTTCTAACGGATTAGTGAACAATGTTGCGAACATAGCGGACACGCCCCCCATCGCCATGTCGGTGACGTCACGACCGACGCCATCTTTTTTCGATCCCATTACGTGGGATGTTACCTACGAAGAAATAATAGATTTTTATTCTAGTATTTTAATAAAATACTTTATCTTGTATATATATTTAGATATCCAATTAAGAAGAAATACAGTAAATAAAAGCCGAGCAGTATCTATTCCCAGATAAATAAATATTGGAGAGTGGTACGATATTTTGTATTTAGCTTGTATTATTAATATTAGCTGACCAGACCACGCGTTGCTGTGATTCATAATTATAATATATTCAATTAAATTTTTACTCATTATTTTGATAAAGATTGAGACAAAAACTTTCAAATTAGAACAAATTACAGATACATGTGATATTTTAATAATTTTAAAATTGGTTCAGTAGCTTCGGAGTTTATCAATGACACAAGATAATTAGTAAGTATATGTAGATTTTGGCCATTTAAGGAAAATTATCAATTCATATAGTAATTGTAGTTACTATCTTAAGTAATTCGGTAAAACAGTATTAAGCCATATTAAGTCTGACTCCTGTATAACAGTTTTCTTCTATTTCCGAAGCACATTTATTGCAAACCAGCGTTCCAACAGCAGTGACCTTACTATTGACGTGTAACTAAACATCAGTTGTATATCACATATCGCACACAGCCCGCGGTTGGTAACAAAGTTCCCAACAAGGTAACCTTTGTTAGAACGTTGGTTTGTAATCGTGAGAGAAGCCCAATCGAGCCGCGCTCCTCGTGCAGACCCGCTTAACCAGTTAATAAGGGCCTTAAGATAGTTCCAGTAGTTTTTTTCTTACAAGTAATATGTAGCTAAAACGGGGTATGAGAAAAGAAAACATATCTTTTTAACTAAACAAATTTTATTCAACATTTCAATATGTTAATCTACATTGTTTTAAAGCTCTATCTATCTAATTAATCACTCCTCTCCTCTTTGAGAATCCAATCAAAAATTCAAATTCACACAATTAAAATTAGTTAAAAGTTATAATAATAATTTCACGACATCCAGCATAATAGGAATTAAAACCTTCATGTTTTGAGCAGTGTGCGTATATACTTGTGCAGCCGTATATACTTTTTTATGGGCCTGTTCCTTGTTTACAAACAGATGAGACATTCAAATATAAATATTAGACAATGTCACATGTTTTACTTTGATACCAAGATGACTAGCTAATACCCTCGTATCATGTAGGCTTTTTTTTTATTATGCAGTATCGAGATAACGATATAAATTTAATCTTATATGCTTAAACATACAGCTCAATTTTTTACTGTTAAACGCAACACGCGACTTTTTAAATAATAATGAGAAGGAGACCAGTTTGCCAGTAACAGCATTACCTTATCAGGTTTTATGGATTCGAAAATTTTCATATTTAATGGTGATAAGTTAAAATTAACCTAATTTACATTCTGCCCATTCCCAATCATAAAAACAAAGAGATGTTTGCAACACAATTCAATGTAATAAGTTATTACATTAATACAATTGACGTGACTTACCGACGTACCTGCACAGAAAGCTAAATTTCGAGGCGTGGCAAAGTCGGCCAATCGTAATGATCAGTGGTTGGAATTAGGTAGAGTTATTTATGTACTTACACTAATTTCATACAGCGAAAGAATAAAGTGGATATGCCTCAAATCCCGAGATTAATTTTAAAGAGCAGAAAAAAATCCCGTGATTTTTTAAATAAAAAGTTATTTACTTTTACACAATTTAAACTACTGCACGCACGACGTTGTCAAACTTACATCAATGATATCGGATGTCCAAAGTTGCAAAATACCAATACGCGCGATGTTGCCACGAAGGTCCACATTAATATCAACATTTCGATGCAAGTACATAAATAACTCTACCTAATTCCGACCTCTGGTAATGATCGATGTATCACGCCATCGGGCGATCGACCAATAACCAACCGCTTGAATTCTGCCGAGTTGAGTGAGACTGACACTTAATGTGTGTTAATTTGTACCTTATGGTAATTGAAACAAAAATCATGATGAATTAAAATAAAACGGTTGAATATTTTTGGTATAGGTAGATGTGGTCTGCGTTTGCTTTTTTATTCGATTGGTGAAACGTCATGCCCAATATTGATTGGAATTTCCTATACGATTATAAATGTGGAAGTACTGCCGTCATAAAATAAACAAATTATGACAAGATTCTTAAAAAATATTCGTTCACAATAATACTGTTGACATTGTATTCAGGGAGATTACATTCAGGTACTATTAATAAATACATTATTAACTATTTTTAACACCAATTTAAAATATAATAAAATTACACGTTTTACTAAATTAAAATAAAAATTAATTTAAGGGACGGTGCATATCTAACGGAAGTTGACTCGCGTCTTAACGGTCCCAGAACGTCACAATTGACAAATATATATTATGACATTTGATTCTTCACGTTAGACGAAATATCCGTCGCCTCCTAACACATACTTCTTTAAGACGGTTGATTTCCGTGGGATTTTCACCGACCCCAAGTCAAGTATATAGTCATAATAAATATAAACAATAATAAATTAAAACAAACAATATTAAATGGGAATAATATTAAAGTAATAACCAGTGGTCGGAATTAGGTAGTTATTCATGTAGTTACACTGATTTCATACAGCGAAAGAATAAAGTGGATATGCCTCAAATCCCGAGATTAATATTAAAGAGCTGAAAAAATCCCGTGATAAAAAAAAAAAAAAGTTATTTACTTTTACACAATTTAAACTACTGCACGCTGCATCGGATGTCCAAACTATCTATAATTTGTATTCTAAACTAATTTTATGTTAATTATCTTTGTTTTATATGTCAATCTTTGACGTTGTTATTATTATTTAGTTGTAAGATTGTTGGCCACACGGGATTGTCCATTAGAAATCCCGGGAAGGTCCACATTAATATCAACATTTCGATGCAAGTACATAAATAACTCTACCTAATTCCGACCTCTGGTAATAACACTAAACTAACAGTGATTATTTTAATTAAGTATAAGAACAATAAAATGCAGTTATTTGGTATACAATTTAAATTTTCTGTTTACACACACAGTATGATAGTGATTATTGAAATTACATAGATATGTTATATAATAAGAGTTTACAATTGTGTAAGACACTCATAATCTGTTTAAAATCTTACAATAAACAGTAAAAAGGATGTTCTATACGTCGCAGTCGTCATTTAACCTTAATGGATGTTAGTGCAAATAGGTTAAACCTAGCCATAGGATTGAATGGCGCCATTCAATTACAGGGCTAGCCGCACAATTGAATGACTGTTTTAACCAGTTTGCTGCGACATATAGATAAAATAATATCATACTTAAAGTAGTATGCATTTAAATGAAGTCAAATACATAAATATTTAAATAACGTTTATATCAGTTGATATATAAATACACAATTGACATAACATGAACTTAAATTAATATTGCAAGATGATTGAATGATTGACGTAATTATGGTAACTTCATTATTTGTAAAAGATGTCACAGCCCATTCTAATAACTATCCACATGGTAAAATTTTTCAGACTATTTTCTGAGTTTTTTGCACTGGTTCAGTACTATAAAATTATTATGTTGAATATATCGTCCAGAAATATTTTATGGTTATTCTGACAGGTTGAATTTCTAGAATAAAATATATCCAAAATAACTATCCAAAATAACATAATATACATAAATAAACAAACAACAAGAACAACACAGAATACTCTTTGGATCTGTTAGTGAATTTTACTAGGTTAATAAATTTTTCTAATTTAACTTTTCTTAATTTCCCATGATTTTTGTACGTCTTTGAGCATATCCCAGAATACAAGCAGGAATACACTATGAGGCGCTTGTCTTAGGTAGGAGGGCGCCATACCCTTGTAAAAGGCCAGCAGGCCCTCCGTTTTGGTGATCTTTTGGGCGCAGTCAATAATACCAGAGTATAGTAATCCACGACCTTCACTATCCACCGCTGTAATAAGATACAAATTGTAATCTTAGTAAAACTTTATAAATATTTGAACATCTCTTTAGAGGTATCATTGATAATAATGAACACTTACATCCATTTTCACTAACCTAGAGCAAGGCATAGCTTAACTAGGAAATGCCTAATCTTAAGAATCTCCTAAGATTAGTTTAATCCCAAATAAACATTTTTCTTTAATCCCTTGACACGTTTATGAGCTGTCACGTTATGCAAATGCTTTCCGAATGGCAATGCATAACGAATGTCACAAGTTTAGACATTTCTTATTGTCATTGGGTAGTTCTTAGTAATTGGTGAAATGCATATTTACCTTATAAACACTTAGTGAAAAAGAGAGATTTAGAGCCCGTGCACACTTATGTTTTTTAATCGCCCCTGTCAGGCTCGAATGTGTATCGTGTCTGTAACGCTTCAACGTGCGTCGACGTCACATTTAAAAAACACGGTGTGCATAGGCTCTTAGGTGATATAGGTATAGATGAGGTAATGAAATCACGAAAGGCCCCATTTATTACGTAGGACCCACTCCTTTAAATCGAGGAGTGGGTCGATTTCTATTATTGCATATTTTACTAACAAGGACAAAAATTTAAAAATTTCTTCTTGAAAACAGAGCGAAGTGCACATGATTTATATCTATTTATACAAAATTTTGTTTTCATTAATTGGATATGCTATTTCTTATGACATTTATGTTACTCACATTGGTTGTAGAGACGGGTCATGATGACGTCCATAGGTGTCAACGTTATAGTTTTGACGATAGCACCAATGTTACTTGCCATAAAAGCTGAGAAATATTTTGATTGTTGGAACATCTTATTTTCATCCATCCACTCTTTGCATCTAGAATTTAATTTTTATTGTAAATATTTTTAATTAGAATTTAGTATATAACATGTATCCAGCTTTAAGGACCATTATGAGCAATTGTTAAAGTAAATTCAGATTATCATAAATTCACTTATTGATTAATCTTATCAATGGATTAAAATAACAAGGCAGGTACCTATTTTATTTTAAAATTATTTAACTCCAACTTGAAGATCTCATCATTCTCTAATTACTCACATAGCAAAAGCAGCTATCTGTGATGCTGATCCCATGGAGTTTCTAATCATCATACCATGTGCACCCCTCCACAATCCACTTAAACCGTTTTTCTCATATATTTTCTTTATGGCATATGTCAGCCCTCTATGCCCATGTTGTGTACCCACTGCAATTTTTTCTGATGAGTAGGACATGAGTTGTGTTTTCACAAGTTGGAAGGGACTTCCGAAAAACGCTCCGCACATTCCAGATACCGCTCCAAAGAACAAACTGTTTATAAGAAGCGTATTGCCTTTTTCATCTCTTAGCAAACCGTAATCATCTGCATGTTGATAAATGCCTAATCTAAAAACAACTCTAATTTAAATGAGTGTAAGTAAAGTTTATTATTGTCAATTTGCTTTGAAACAAGTAATAATAAAAATTAATTGTACATTATATTAAATTATATCATATTAAATATTAAATTAAACATAATAAGAACTTACCTCACTCCGTTTACTGCTAACTGAAACCACAACGCAGGAACTAAACCTTTTTGTAGTGCAGCTATACCGTCATGCTTCACTATTGTGTACATAGCATGTGGTATATTTTTATAATATACTGCATGTTGACCTCTAGCCTGTAGCTCGCCTTGCAACTGCATTCGCGTCTTCACAACATCAAACGGGTTACTGAAGAATCCCGCTCCCACTCCCGCCAGGCCTCCCACAATGAAGTCCATGGTACTACCAAATTCACTTTTTGAAATATCCAATATGTGATGCTGTTACATAATTGCTAATATTAGATTTGTTTAATTGAAAACAATGGTTAGTGAAGGTGAGTTTTACAATTAGTTAAAAAGGTTCTAGCAGTATATAATACACTAGTCTTTTTTTTTATAAAACTTGAAATCAAACTTTTTACGTTGTGGTTTATTATTAACAAAAGCTTTTTTTCTAAAGTAAATTTTGTTAATATTTTTCAGGTTCAGCATTTAAAGAAACGAAAAGAAATGTGAGTGTGAGCACACAAGATTTATGCTTTAAGGTTATATTTGGTTAGGTATTTGGAACAAATTTTATGTAAATGAAATTAATGACGCAAATACGGTAATCACGTTAAAGATAAAACGCAAGTCATAACACAAATAAATGATGAAATTTTGGATACCTACTCACTATTTATTTACACAGTCAACGTGAGAGGATCATCTTCCGTACTCAAAATATCCAGCCACAAGCATCATGTGCTGTGAGACACTAGGTAAAGCGTAAAAAATATTTTGTTTCGTAATATTCTACAGCAAATATATAAAAATATCTTTTCAAAAAAATATTTACGAAAGTAATTAAACGTCATATTGATATAACAGTTTTTTTTTGTATTTTAAAAGCAAAGACATTTAGCTCACATAGTCTGCGTTATTATATAATATAATGTTTTTCTTATAAAGTTAAATTATTATAATTTACAATTCATTGATCTTACAATTAATATAACACATATTTGATATTATATAACTTTCTTTAATATACCGATTAATTGATATATCCGTTATATATTCCACTAAAACATAATATTATTATTTTCTATTTTATAAGATAGATCTTTGTAACAAAATCGTTCAAGTTAATTTAAACTTCACATTTTTTGTTCATAACAGGAACTTATCATTCGGTTAGGTTAGGTTAGAACTGCGAGCGAAGCGAGGGTGCCGCGGTAGTGACCGGCGAGTGCCATTTATGAGTTATTCATAAACCTATCTTATATTTAGGAGGAAAAAAGTAATCCTAGTATAATACAAATTAAGTTATTTTTTAATTATTTCAAATGTTCTTTATTTTGAATAGTCTTATGATATTTGATTTTTATATGAAGTGACTACTAATATAAGAATTGAATATTATAGGATATCATTATTATGTATAAATTAATTTTTATACCAAATGTTATTAATGATTATATAATGTGGGTTTAGATTAAATGAGTGTTTTAAAGAATATATCACATAAGTTTTATATAAAATATTTTTTATGTTAAAGAAACTATATTATTTGAAACGTATTACAAAATTATTTGTTTTACAGTTATATTTTCCGTTTATTGTATTAAATAACCAATATATTAAACAAAACTATTTTATTCGAAGGTATATCTAGGTTGTAAATTTTATTATTATGCCATATGTATTCATTACGACGTTTACATACTCTTATTTGTCCGTGTGTTTTGGGAGTCAATAACAGTTGCACGGATAAAAAACTGGTTTATGTACACGACAGAATTATATATTAAATTTCTATTTGAAATCAACCAAAATAGGAGTTAAAAATGAAATTGCTGATTTGTATTGAAAATCAAAATTAATATCTAATAATATCTAATAGGAAGGTCATTATGCCTTTGCGATAGAACTCTGAGGATTTAGACTGCACAAACTGTCTGAAAGCATTTTGTACTGCCTCCTGGGAAGCAAATTCCTTGTCACGTAGATAATTGTCCAAATCACGAAAAAAATGGTAGTCCGTTGGAGCAAGGCCTGGCGAAAACGGAAGATGTCGAATGGTTTCTAACTGCAGTTCCTGAAGGGTCAAAACTCTTTTACTGTTAGTTTTGCCAACATTGTTCGGAGTTCGGTACAATAGAGATCTGCCGTTATTGCTTGACCAGATCGGAGAAAACTATCGTGAATAACACCATGCTGAGACCACCAATCAGTTACCCATTACCTTTTAATTGGTAAATTTTGCTTTAGGACACTGTTGTGGCGTTTGACCTAGAGTCAGCTATTGCATTTTTCTTTTACTACGGTTATCATAAAAAATCCACTTTTATGATTTAAGAACCGTATGGTTGAAGGTGTGGTTCCTACTGATGATGGAGACAACTGGCAAGGGAGACTTAAGGATAATTGTCTCCCTCCGAGCTAGGTGTTGTTAGCCCGGGGACCGCGGTCCAACCGATGTAGGTCGGACGTTCTATTTATGTTAATTGGTAATGAAACTTATTCTGTGCGATGTAGGTTTCTTTGTTCTTAATGCCTTGAATTTATAATGTTTGAATTGATACATCGCCATCTCAGAACGTACGTATCAGTCGCCACATTCCTTCATTGCGGTACCGATTCAACAAGACAACATAAGTTTTAACACGCGATTCTTTCTGCAGTTCAGCCAAATCATGAGGCATCCATTTTTCGTATTTAAATAATGTGTGTAAGGTAACGTTAAAACATGTCGCTTATTAATGGGTAGTTTGATTAGGATCGGCTTCCACTATCTTTCTAAATTCATCGTTATTCACCTGTGCAGGCGGTCTTCCTCGTAGCTCGTTCTTCAAGTCGAAGTTTCCATCACAAAAGCGTTTAAAGCAAAATCGCACGGTGCGTTCATTAGCATACCCGTCTCCAAACGCAACATTGATATTGCGGTCTGTTTCTGCCGCGTCGAAACTCGTACTCACAAATCACTCGAATTTTCGCAGTATCCATCTTTCTTGTCTAAGTTGAAAAAAAAAACATTTTACTTTAAAATACATTCATTTTAAATCAAACATTTAATAGAACGAATGCTATGAAATTTTAACAGCATTCTAAGAAAAAGTTTGAAGTTTGTGGCGATGTACATAGGTTCATATCTAAAAAAAATAATTATTTTCAGTTAAAAATATCAATTAAACAGCAGTGTTTAAGTTTTCATTGAGTAGACCATTGCACTTTAAAAACAAATTTGGGTTTTGTCCAAGGTTTTGTCCTGCTTGTCAAAGTTTTGTCATGCAATACCAAAAGTCAAAATATTGTTTGAAATAAATTCTGATATTCGAATAAAAAGCAAAATTTTAAGTTAAAAATATGTAAAATAGAATATTAAACAAAATATCATAAATAACGCAAAAATCTAAAAATGGCTGTTACAAATGCAATGTTTCTTTTTGAAGTGGTCATTGAGCATGTAAAAAGCTTGGTTGAAAGCCGGTTTCTTGTAATAAGAAGTGAATTTGGTGATATATTTTCATTAGAGCTAAAAGATCCTAAGCAAATGTACATAGTTATACCAGATCCGCCACCTTTACCACCCGAACCAGCTGGAAAAAAAGGGAAGAAGAAGCCACCGAAACCAAAAAAGGGAAAGAAAGGAAAAGTCGAGCTACCTCCACCGGAACCAGTAATACAATCAGGTCAATCAGTTCTTTTCACCAGTAGTCCAGAATTCCTCATACAGAATATGAAAAAGTTTCCCCTCGAAATGTCATTATGGAGTAAGGAAGATAATCTGACATATATTGGTTCAAACAGCATTCCGTGGGATCAAAAGTTCTTAGGATACTTGGAACAGATTTGTAGTTGTCAAGAACCTCTACCAGTTACATTAAACGATGAATACAACATTTTCGAGGAAGGCACTGCTAAACTGATGGCGAAAATAGGTTTGCAGGTCAAGTTAACATATTTGACAGACAGAGTTACTACGGCTTTTAGAACACTCTCCGAAGATCCTGTAGTAAAGAAAGTGCTTTACACTGGAATCAACTCAAAAACGACGTCCTATATGTGTACTTTGAAAACGACTGATGAAGTTTTCGAGGAGAATTGTAACAAAGTCGAAAATAAGTTTATTAAAGATAAACCTAAGGCAGGAAAAATTGTTTACGCTGATTATAAAAATGCTCCAGGAGCAAATCTCACGTTCTTCAATGAAGGAGACTATTGTTGTATGGGTAATGCTGATAAACCACCAAAATCGATATACAAATCACCTGAAACGTGCCCTGATATTGATCATATTGTAGACTATGTGCGGAAGATAATAGTCTCCTGTAACGATAATATGAGAATGTTAACACCACGTCCAACGATAAGTCCAAGAGTCAAAGCTACGGACATAGATAGACTTTGTTACTGCAAAGAGACAAAGTGGCCATCCGGTGAATTTGCTGAAAGATTCAAAAAAGAGGCGCAGGCTGACCCTTGTCCAATCTGTATTAACGCTGGAAAGAGGCCACACAATAATCGGCCTTGTGTTTTCGATATTGCTAATATTAGAGGTCCTTGTGGTCGACACGATTGTAGAATAGCTAGAACGATGAAAGCGTATATCGAAAACCTTGTTGAAGAAGACAACCAAGAATTCAGTATCAATGATATAATTGGACCATGTGGTAGCAAAGTTTGTACTTTAGCGGAAAAGATACAGGAATTTCTACGCCATGAAGGTGTATTCAGTCACAGTGAAACTTTAGAGGGTCTTTCTACTCAATGTGCTTGTTTGAAAACTATGCAAGATGCTCTTACTAAAAAAAGTTCTTGTTCTTCTGTATGCAGTAAAGACTGTAACGAGGCGGAAAGTGATGATAGTCAATGTGGTGGCAACAGTTGCCCTTTTGGTCAAAATAAGCAAGTATATAACATATATTACTTTACTGTAGAACATGATTTCGATAAGGACCCTAAAACTGATTCAACTGCACCGTCAGCACAAACTTCCAAATATCAATTTTGTTCCAATGAGTGTCCTAGTGTTAAAGCTTCGGAAAATACATCATGTTCTAAAACAGCTTGTCCGTCTCCGTTTACTAGTAAAACTGAAAGTGGTCATCCAGATGACTCAACTTGCGCTCAAAAAGTGTGTGCCTCCGAAAATTATAATGAACCTAGTCCAACAGACAGTGAAGTTGTAATACCTTTTGATGCCATTCATAATCCATGCTGTGTGAAATCTTGCGATGTCACCGAAAGGGTAAAAGATTTTATAGCAGAAAATATATTAAGCAGAAAAGACAAAGTTCAAACTGACGATCCCTGCTACTGTGACTGCGTATGTACGTTCAAATTTTCAAGGAAAACTACCTACTGTGCCGTTTGTGGGGGTTATGAATGCTTAGGCGACGATATGAAAGATCAACCCGTGTATGCTAAACCTCATCCATGCCCCGTTTATAATAAATTGTATGACAAGAAATATATAAAAACACCAAACCCTTGGCCCGAAGAAGAGCAGAAACAAGCTGATACCGTGAGTATGAAAAGCTCTAGAACAGTAGGATCGAGGGCGGGGGCTAACGAAAAAAGGACAACATCGGTGAAAAGTTTACCAATTGAAAAGAAAGATCAAACAGAATGTAATAAAAAGACGAAACCGAAACAAGAAAAAAAGAAAGTTGGAAAATTCACGGCTAACGCTGTAGAAGAACGTGCGTATCCAATATTAAGCAATGATGATAGAGTTTAGCCTTACTCCATTGGGGTGGCTATAATTTTTTTTAATGAGATAGTTATTTTATGTATGTACATATATAATATTATTTCAGCGTTGCCACCAGTAGAAAAAAAACCAGAAACAAAATATCCTTATCCAGCTGTACCACGGAATATGGGATGGAATTGGGTTGCTGAAGATATCCCTGGAATGAAGGTAAAATATTAAGTCAATCTTTTAAGCCAAGACAAGACAATAATGTTACCAAATCAATGAAAAAAAAACAATCGTGAGCATAAAATAAAAACATAGACAAGATGGCAATTTATATCTGGTTTACGATTTGTGTTTTTTTTTGGTAAGTTTTTTATTTTTATTATAGTTTCTGTATAAATCTCATGAATTTTTTTTGACGTCTATTTTCTATTTATACGTATTTAAAAAAAATATTGCTAAATTTGAGTTGCTTCAGTTTTGATGACTTATCTTGAAGTTTATTTCTTCCAGATGCACAAGAACTAGAAATATCAAGTGCAAATGATAAAGGAAAAGAAAATTGATTTATCTTAAAAGTTTCTTATTTGAAATCTGTAATAAATAATTTAAAATATAAACATACTTCTTTTATTTTATAATGATCATTATAATATATTTACTTGTATAATAATATATTTATATACACACAGATATGCGTGATAATAATATCTTAAATTTTATGTATGTTTCCAGCCCAGGCCAAAGTGGAAACCAGGTGCAGCTAATAAAATTTTAGTGCGAAGGTATAGAGCGGTACGGGAAGGGATAGACATTATAGCAAAAAAGAAAAGGGCTTTGTTACAACGCAAAAAGAAAATAGAAATGAAGCCAACCTTGGTCGTACAGAAACAAGGTGGAGAGTACACAGTGCAGATGGAGGTGTTCAAGAAATTCTCCAAAGAAAGATTAGTGTATCAATATCCTTATGATGAAAAACCTCCACTGGTATACACGATAGGTAGGTCCGCAGAGGAAAATCTTAAAAGAAAAAAAGCTAAGGAAAGAAAAGAACGTCGAGAGACAAGAAGAAAAAGCAGATTATTACAATCTACATTTCGAGATAAGTGTCAAGAAATCTGTCTAAAAGCATATAACCAAGCCATTGGCCTCCTTCCATTACCTAATCCAAATGATCCCAATTGTCCCTGTTATACTGAGCCAAATCCAGCTCTTAGTCCACCTATAGATTCCTGTTCTTGTTCTGAGGAAGGTTCATTATCGAGTAGTGACACAGATGATGATGAGTGGACTATAGAATTTACCCCTCCCGCAGCTAGATGGGATGCAAAGGCGAAACATCCGCCTGTTCATGTTGAGACTGAGACTCAATACACTTATTTAGATTACAAGGTTAAATTACTCGATAAATCTGGTAATCAAGTACCTCGATTTTTCAAAGGTCCTGATGGTAAACAGGAGTGTAGCGATCTAGGTGGATTTTGGGGACCTGGTCACGAGTGGTTGGAAATAAATAAGGATGGTTATATTGGACCTGATAACCGATGGGTACCACAGAATTTCATAGGTCCCGATGGTATGTTTTATTCGTCTGAAGACGGATTTATTACTGATGCCTCTGGTCAAGTTTTAAAAATAGGAGTCGATGGGTATATCGATAAAGATGGCAAATGGGCTTGGTATTCGAGGACAAAAAAAATATCTAAAAGTGCGAAATCGACAGTATCGGGTTCGACGGCAGGTAAAAGATCTCCAAGATCTGGCAGAGAAACACCTGTAAACGCTCAGACTACACCTAAAGGCGTACTGTCTCCTAAAGGGAAAAAACCACAACAGATCTCTGGCAAAAGGAGTCCACCAAAAACTACGTTCAAAGGAAATAATCAAGTGGTGATGTCATTGGCAACTAATCACAATCAAAATATGGTGCCAAGTTTACGAGCACGTGAAAAGAAGAACATGATTAATTTGAAGAATATGGAGAGGTATCTTGAAATAATGAATGAGATGCAAATGTACGATGACCAATATGAGCTGAAATATCCTTTGAAAACGAATAGAGCTTCCAATACGCCGAGTAAGAAAATATCTCCATTCACAATAGATGGAAATCATGTTAAAAATGCAATAATGGGCGCTACTGTGTCTTTCATTAACACTGATACTACTACGAGTAGTATCTTAAGGAAATAATTGTAATAAAAGATGAATGTAATATAAAAGTACTTCTTTGTTTTTAATGCAGAAAATCAATTCATGTTTAATAATATTTTCTTAAAAAGATCTGTGTTTGTATTATAAAGAAGAAAATACGTAGTAATTGGCTGTCCGGTATGGGCTTACTATAACTTCAGGAAAGTTAGTAAACTGTTAAAACTAAAGATAACGCAGTTTAATTTAGGATCAAATCAAATTGAATAAGAAGAATGGGCCATAAATTAAGACGCGAACCCAGTGTGGATTGGTGGGTGTTAACGATTGTGGGTGTTAAAATCCTTTCTTAAGACACCTTTACGTAATAAGATGATGTACCCTCCAAATTTCTTGTCTCTACTGTGCGGTGTCTGTCAGTTAGATATCATAAATGGATAGATATTCTGAGCCTCTGATGAAGGCTGGAGGAAGGCATATATTTAAAATCCTTCAGAGGATATTTACGTGGTTTTATTATACAAAAAGTGAGACTATACCCTCTTGTAATACTTTAAGGTTATTCGTAAGTCGCTGTAGAATAGTTAAGTAAAGTTTTTTAGTTAGATTCATCATAAACTATCTCCAAATTAATTCTGACGATAACCAGCTTCCTGAGCAAACCGATTTCCGAAAGGGCTTTAGCTCCACATACCATACACTAAATACTTAATCCAAAACACCAAGATGCACAACCTGTTTGCAGGCTACGTAAAAGCCTTTGATTTAATCGAGAAACTTCGCAGTAGGCGTAGCATGCCAAACTCGTGAAACGCTTAACTTTTCTCGGGTCGAGAGTGAGATATGGGCGCACTAGATAAAAATGAAATTTGGGTGTAGACAAAAAGTTCTGGAGATCGTAATGTTATGCGTGCTACAGAGTGTTACAACATCAAAGTGGAATTAAATATTCACCTTCGATTTGCAGACGATAATACAGTCATGGCTGAAATCTTGGAAGATCTTAGTACATTACTCGAAGTCCTTTTTTGCATGGTCAACACCCATCTCACACCTACTCCCTTAAAACTTGGTAACTTGATGAAAGACCACCCAGCTAGGTAAGTAGAATTAAGAGAAACAGGTAAACAGTGGATTCAACGACGTGTGGCAGTGTTCAGGAGGTTCCTAAGTGTCTTCTTGCCTCGAATACTGCAGTGTCATAAGACAATGGTTTTTGTCTAATGTGTGTTACTCGTGATGACTAATGGCACTGATAATGTGAGCGCACATTGTGATCTAATTTAGTATACCTATCATACGCCACCCGTGTATAGGGTGTAAACGTCAGCGAAGTCACGGGACAATAGCTAGTAATTGAACAAAAACACCGAGCCCCATGGAGAAGACAATTTTGTTGCAAAACTTATTCGAATAATGGCTAGCGCCATCTATTAACAGATAAATTACTGTTCAAGACAAACTTTAGTTGGTAATAGGTGAATAGTTACCATAGTAGATTTATTTAGGTTACAAACTTATCTCACAAAAGCTTTTTAACCAATCGTTAGGTAATTAATGCCAGAGTGAACTAATAGAAAATGGAAAGTCCACGGTAAATGTACCTATATAAACTCTTTGGAACTAAATTTGTGTTTTTTTTATCTTAGCCACATTGAATCATTTCCTGACATTAAAAACATTTCTTTTGAAAAATGACATGAAACATCATTCACTTTTGGTTTTCTTAACAAATTGCAAGTTATATTTTTTTAGATTCGTTAGTAATGGATATCTAACGTAAATTGTATAGTTATAACATAAGAACAAGTGGTAAAAATGGCTCTTTCGGATTCCATGTTTTTGTTCGAAATTATCATAGAAGAACTAAAAAGTTTGTTTGATACTAAGGATTACAGTATATATAGTCAGTTCGCAGATATCTTTCAATTATACCTTAAAAACCCGAATGAATTGGGTACGTCCACACCAAAACAGACAAAGAAAAAGTTTTCAAAAAAATCAAAAGTAAGAGTCAGAAAGTCAATAGCAACAAAATCTTCAACAGAATCTAAGGTAAGATTAGTCAGATCTGTATTGATCTCTAATTCTAGTGAAATTCTCAAGGACAACATGAGGAAATACCCATTAGAAATATCTTTTCGAAGTAAATATAAGCCTGAAATTATCCTGGCGTCTAATCAAATACCTTGGAGTGATGAATTCATATATTATTTGAACGAATTAGATACAAAAGATAATATGCATTCAATAACTGTAGATGGGAAATATAATGTATTTCATGAATATACATCGAAATGTATAGCCACCATTAAATTAAACATAAAATTATGTTGTGTAAAAGGCACCCAGTTGAATTTCTTATCAAATACTGCGCCAGCGATAAAAGAAGAACCAAAAAGAGATTTAAGAGATGAAACTGGAATAATTAAAACCATATATGCTGGAGGTAAAACGAAACTCAAACGTTCGAGTGGTTCACCACTTCTAATAAAAACTTTGGAAACGTCCATAGCAGAAAACAAAATGAATAAAGAAGATGCCAATTACATCGAATATAATAGCAATAATTGTAGTAGAAATAAAATCGTCTCTCTTGTAAAGAGTTATACCGATATACGGCTTAAGAAAAAAGTGTCTTTAGTAAAATCACAGTCTTGTCATTTTTTTGAGTATGGCAGACAATTAAATACCTTGAATTATATTTTTGGGAATAACAGAGGTCCCTTTGGGAATCAAGTGTATTGTGTTGGCTATTTTACTGTTCAAAATGAATTTGCCGAGAAACCTGTAACATCTAAAGAATCTGTAAAAGATAGCAAAAGTTCTGAAAAATCAGCTGTAGGCACAGAGAAATACCAATTCAAATTGTGCGATGACGAATGTCCTAGTAAAAAAGCTAGTACTTTTGGTTCTCCTAGCCATTGCTCGTTAGATTTGCCAAAAGATGCGGCACATTTAATAAGTATAAAAAAATGTGATCAAGTGGATTGTGATTTTGCGAAAACTAGGGAGCCTCCCAGTCCACCAGATGAGAGATTAATGGTGGATTTGTCTAGTATGAGAAGAGACAGTTGTGTAATGCAAGAAAAAATTGAACAAATAGTAGGAGGAATGACAGCAAAAATGCAAATGGGTGCTGAACCTTGTTATTGTTCTTGTGAATGCACTTTTGGATTTACAAAAAAGACGACATATTGTCACGTCTGCGGTGGCGTTGAAAAATTTGGTGAAGAGAAATTAGGACCATTAGCCTTCCCGTGCCCGATTTATCATAAATTAGTAGATAAAAATAAACTGAAAACTGTTAGTTCTGGAAGCGACAGTAAAAAGAAAAGTTCTAAGCACCCAGACAAAAGCGGTGAATCCGAAAAAGAAAATAAAAAAGGCAAAAAGAAAAAAAAGGATGATAGATTCAAGTTTAACTATGGTTATACAGGTATACGTACGTATTATAATGTTGTTTGTCTATTTTTTATGAAAAAATAATTAAATACTTTTTTCCATGTAAATTTTCTTTATTTTTAGCACCCCAAATTGGACACAGTCAATGTGCTATGCCATGTACAGGTACTTTGGGCGCTGTACCGAAAAACATGGGCTGGTTATGGACCGCTGAAGATGTTCCAGGAATGAGGGTATATATATCGATGTCCATAAGTATCAAATAATAGTTTCGCTGCAACCTCGCCCGCGTAAATTATAGCTTATATCACCCGCGTATGACGAAGCTGCCCATAGGCGTAATATTTTTTAAAATCAGTTCAGTAGTTTCGGAGCCTATTCAATGCAAACCCACAAAGAAACAAATCTTTCCTCTTCTCGATATCTTAACTATAAGTATCAACAACTATGATGATAGTTTTTATATATGTTTTTCTTTATTTTTTTTTAGTTTCGTCCTATGTGGAAGCCTGGGGCTACCAATAAGTATGTAGTGCGGTTACTAAAGATTGCAAAGAATCCTGATGAAGCTATTTCTAAGAAACGTAAGAGAGAACCAAAGAAAAAGCCACTCAAGAGGCCACTTTTAGTTGTCCATAAAAAAGATGGTGAATTCACCGTCACAATGGAAACAATGAAAGCTTATGCAAAGCAAAGAGCTATCAATCAACAACCTTACGAAGAAAAACCTTTAGTGACATACACGATTGGAAGGAGTGAGGAGGAAAATCGTGAGAGGCGGAAAAAGAAAGAGCGTGCACAGAGGCGACTTGAAAGAGATCAACGTGATTTTATTCAAAGTGCTTTTAAAGATATGTGTCAAGAAATCTGTCTTAAAACATATCAACAAGCGTTGGGCATTTTGCCGAATGCTGAAGATCCTGAATGTACCTGTTATCCCGCTGAACCAGGACCCGATAGAACAAACATGGACCGTTCATGTTCATGCTCAGAAGATTCAGTGTCTTTAGGCTCAGATACAGACTCTGATGAATGGATTGTCGAATTCACGCCACCTAATGCCTATTTCGATCCGACTTATAAAGGAAAAAAAGTAATGAAAGTTGAAAAAGAAACGCAATATTCGTATTTAGATTACAGAGTTAAGCTAGTTGATAAATACGGAAATCCAGTCCCTAGATTTTTTAAAGGTCCTGATGGTAAACAACAATGTAGTGATTTAGGTGGTTTTTGGAGTCCAGAACATGAGTGGTTAGAAATTAACGTTGATGGATATATAGCGCCCGACAATCGGTGGGCTCCTATGTCTTTCATAGGACCAAATGGAGATCAGATAGATACAGAAGATGGTAAATTCCAAGTGGCAAATGGGAAGTGGTTAGTCGTCGGTGTCGATGGTTATATAGATAGTCGCGGAAAATGGCGTTTTTATTCTAAACCGAGAGCTTCACCTGTTCAGAAAAAGGTACGACCTACCGCCAAGAAGGCTGTCAAAAAAGGAGACCACAAGCCAATAATGGTTGAGCCATCTGAAACAACTTGGAGTTGTTTCGGAGATGCTAGTCCGGTAGCCTTGTCTAAAATGGGAATTGTCGGGCATGGTATAGACAGAAAATTGTTAGCAGCAACACTTAAACGAATGTTAGATCGCGGAGAAGATGTAACGATACCTCAGCCTTCAGTAGTTCCCAGACGACTTGGATCCAAAAAAAGTAAGAAAGCTCGTTCACCTGTGTTTGATCGGCAAAATTATTTCGAAGAAAGAACAAAATGTAGACACCCTGTTCCTTCAAAAAAGGGTGTTATAGCTGTGAATGCACACGGAGATAAGATCTATTTCAAACTCAAGGATCATAAAAATAAAAGGCCATATGAACGACTTGCTAAGTTAAATGAACAAGGAATAAGCTTAAGTGATTTCCATGTGCCTTGTTTCCATTCGTTTATCAATAGCGAGGTGGCTAAACTAGAGCAACGAGAAAGGCTTTTGGCTCTTTCCGGTAAAAATGTTGCTACACAAATTTGAAATCGGTATGAATTGTACTGTGTCCAATGATATTATTATTCATCTTAGTTTGGGAAAGGAATTGTGGTGTATTATATTTAATGAAAATAGTCTCTTAAGTGCAAGTGATATTTGGAATTGTGCTAAGTTAAATTTTGTACCGTTATAGTTTAATATTTGTATTAAGTTTTTAAAATATAAAACTTATAATGTTTTGTCATTTGTTTTGGTTTATTTTATATTCTGAAATTTAGCTTCAATGAAGTATAATTTTATAACATCCGATACGTTTATATGAAGTATGTTTGAAATTACGAAAGAAATAAAGGGAAAACCCTGCAGATACGGTATGGTGTTATTATTATATTTTTATTAGCCATCAAATAATCTGTAAATAGGAATTGCAACAGTGATTAATATATTGACTTTGTTTACCAGGTGGCCAATGGCTGGAAACCAGGAGCTATATCGAAATGTCTTCTACGAAAGCTCAAAAAGGCAAAACTTCGGAGACATGCTGTGGAAAGTAGTAAGCCAACGAAGAAAGCTAAAAAGCGTACCGAGGCTAAACCAACACTTATAGTATGTAAAGTAAACGGTGAATATCGCATTGAAATGCAAACGTCACCGGAAAATAACGAAGGCAACAACGAACAATATTCGCCTTTAGTATATAAAATAGCGAAACCTTCGAACAAAGATAAATTAGCCAAGTTGCAGTTGAAGAAGAGATGCTTGGTTAAAGAAATCATTGGAGATTTTGAGGATCCTTATCATCCGGAGATTTGTGAGAAGACTTGTTTGAAAGCTTACAAACAGGCGATAGGTCTGTTGCCGAATGATCATAATAATCCGGAGTGTTCGTGTGGTGATTGTGTGCAGGAAGAGTCCTCCGAGAGCTGCCATTGCGAATACGATGACGTCAGTTCCGATTGCAGTTCAATGGATATAGATTGGGAGATACACTTTTCTCCACCAATAACATCACATTCTTAATTTTACTTACTTAGCTTTAGGTTTTTTCAAAGTTCGAATTATTTTCTCGTTAAAATTTGTTATTTTAATAATACTATTAAGCTGCAGATATTACAGTCTTAAATACAAAGAAGGAGAACGAAGACACTTTTCCAAATGCGGAACGACAAATTAAAAAAAAATGGTTTAATCAACAAGTATATTTGAATATATTTTTTTAGCAATTACTCTAGTACGTATATTATGATTTTCCAGCACTTTAATATTATATAAATGATATTTTAAATTTGTCAACTATCTAAGAATAAATTATTTAACATATCCCATATGACTAATGATAGTGTCGTATGCGGCGCTATCCTAAAATACAAAGGTCCAAGTCCTTTGTACAGACCGTGGAGTCCCTCTGTTCGGTATATCTTGAAGAAACAGTCCCACACACCCTTGTATGTGGGCCCTTTACTGGAAGCCGGCCCTGAAATTAATTATTTGTAAGTACATATTTCGACAACTTGATTATTTAACCAATTCTTTAATTATGTTTTATAGGAACCAGACGTAAAAAATTTCAATAAACCACCACCTATATAAATTCAAGCAAATATAAATAAAACGTTGCAGCTAAATTGTAGGAGGAAATAATAAAGATGCAGATGAATGTAAATATTTAAGATAGGTCCAAAGGTAGACAAATTTACGCATGCTCCCGAGTCAACGTTACCCTGGTTATATAGTCTAGTATTCACAACATCCAGTGGTGTTTCGAGCAGAACGCACAACACCCCGCACCCCAAACTCGACACAAAAGCCAGCACAGTTGGCGAATGTTCGAAGAAACCTCGTTGCTTCATGCTCTCTTTCATTCTGTAAGATACGACACAATTGGGAAATTATTACCCTGATTATAGAGGCGGACGGCGATGACATCGGAGGGGCATATGGCTAAGGCTACAACCACACCACTAATTGCACTTGCGGCGAACGCAAGTCCGAACGGTGAGTATTCAAAAACACCCCGCGTCTTCAAAGCTTCTTTTGTACTGAATAAAAAATTATGAACTGATTAATAATGTCACCCAAAAACGAAGGCAATAAAGTAATGAGTTTTGATTTAACATACGCGGAGAAACTTGTGAGTTGTGCAGCACTTCCCACTGCGAGCCTGCTACAGGTCGCATTGACTCCAGCGAAGAAACCACGGATGCCTTCCGTCTTATAAATTTGTACACAACCATCCACCGTTCCTGTAAGTAGGACAAACGACTTACAGAATATCTATACAGAACAGATCATATATAGAATATTCCAAATTTACAAGGATTGGATGTCAACTTTTTACCTTAACTATAAGTTAATACCTTTATACTTATGCTGACGTCCCACGGCTATACTAGGGTGGGCAGCAGCTTGGATCCTCGTTTTGATTACCGAGGCGGGGTTTCCAAATACTCCACTCATAATTCCACTTAAACTTGCCCATAACATTGCTTTCTTTAAGTCTATATATCCATCTTTATTCTTGGTCCAACCTTGGACTTCTCCTATGTGGTACATCCCTAATCTGTTCATAGAATACAATTCTTAATCTGTTTGCTTATTTTAAAGGCTTTGTGAAGTTACATTCTTACTTAGTAGACTTACGAGTATGAGTTACGAATGCTCATGCTGAGAAATGGTAGAAGGAATGTCCTGATGGAGCTTTGTTCACATAACATAAAAATGAAATTTATTTTTCCAATAAATTGCTAAAAACAAAGCGTGTCTGTTACAAACCTAATAGAGTTCATTGTGAAGCCCAAAAGCATGGCAGGAGCGAGACCTTTCTGCAGTGCCATCATGCCATCAGTTTTGGCGATGACGTATGTTGCATGCAAGATGCCTCGATAGCGAGCGGTGTGTTCGTGGCGCGCTCGCAACTCTCCTTGCAATTGCATTCGCGTTTTCACCACGTCCATTGGGTTAGTGAAGATGGTAGCGCCCGCACCAGCGAGGCCCCCAATGACAAAGTCCATTTTGGGACCGAAGCTGAAAAGGAATAAAGATTATTAATGTTTGTTTTGGAAGTGCTAACGTTACGTTACATTCAGTCAAGAACAGTTCTAAGATCAATGATCATATACAACGTGTCCCAAAATTCAACGATAAGCGGGCGCCAAGAGGTACCCTTGCTCATGTGTACTTATGGAAAAATAAGAAAAAAATTATATCTTATCTTTTTTATTATAAAATTAAATTCGAAAATCTTCGAAAATTTACACCTTTTATGATATTTTCAACTACCACGACCACAACTTCTCAATTATGTTCAATCTTTTTTTGGTATCGGATACCTAAGTAGCACTACTATTCGCTACAACTCTTTAGAAAAATTTCGAATTTTATTTTATAATAAAAAAGATTAATAAGATATAATTTTTTTCTTATTTTTCCATAAGTACACATGAGCAGGTCTACCTCTTGGCGCCCGCTTATCGTTGAATTTTGGGACACGTTGTATATTGTCGAACGATATGTCACTTTATTTTGAAGGACTTATTCTGATACTTCCGAACTATATCCCAGCTTGTAGAGCTGCATTACTACGTGTTGCGTTTCTTTGAGATTCTATAAAGAAGACGACTACAATAATAATAATATACCTCTACAGAAATAAAGATAATAAAATATTATTAGCGTATTACACATTTCATTTCAATCCATAACTCCTATTCTGGATTTTATCAGTTTAGAACAGTATTTCGTTAAATAAATATGAGACTAGAATAATCGATTGAAGTAGACGAGTTAAAATAATTTGCGGTTACCGATTTCAGTATGCATGTGAGATCACTTGTATATGATTTACATATTATTTTTGATCAATTTTGCAATTACAATGCTATACTGGAAATATTATTAATGAAAAATGTTATCTAATTTGTCCCTGGCATTCTGAAATGGGACTATATTTTTCAGCATAACATTGTGAATGGAAAATTGATCAAAAATAATAATTAGAATAAATTCTCATCTTTATCGAAAGTTTAAATATTTGTAAAAATATTTCTTTCGGCTGTTTGGGTGGATTGCCTGAATATTGATGAGAATACGCTCTGTAAAAGTAAGAAGTGCTTGAAAAGTTCGTCAGTCCTGTTAGGTCCTGGGTAGCTCAGTGGTTAGAGCGGTCGCCTGGAATTAATGCTAAAATGACATAACCATAGATTAACGATTTAAAAGAATGAGTTTCTAAAGTGATATCTTTTAGAAGACATAACATGACGTTGCAAAGGCGTTCCGGGTTCGATTCCCGGTCGGTTCAATGTGGAAAATGGACTGTTCTATATTGTCTTGGGTCTGGGTGTTCCGGTGCCTTTGTTGTCTCCGATACTCCATAATACGGGCTTTGGTTACTCATTGAGGAGTTTGAGCTATATAGATATGTCATGTTGTTTTATATTTTTATTTATAATCGCTATAAATATTTAGGTACTAAACCGAATTATCACCGTTACGTAAATAGGGCATTAGATTATGAACTGGAAAGTTTTGTATCCTTATTTCTGATAAATAAAATACTAGATGGGTCTATGATTCATTTCATAATCCAAGAGGGAGCGTCGCCAGAAGCTTATTTTTGGAGAAAAGATGTCTAGATTCGAAAGAAAGACTGAAAGATCTGAAATCATGTTGTTTTCGTAAAAAAGATTCATAAAGGATGCCAGCGTGACTTTATAACATATGCCTCTGCTAACAGTGTCACACGACTGTATAATATTATTTATTTATTCGGAAATGAATGAACGAATGAAGATATAAGAAGAGAGTTGACTTAGAAGATATTGTCCATGTAAAAATCAACAGAAACATGTTCTGTAGGTTCGGACATGTAGAAAGAAATCCGGATAAGAGAATGACAAAACTGGTATACGACGCGAAAGTGGAAGGATCCAGAAGCCGACTAAGGCCATACACTTTTCACGATGAAATCAATCGCGTGCTGTTAAAGGTGATGTCAGAAACCATAAAAATCAGCGAGTATGTATAAAAGAATAATGAAAGTGGATGAAACGAAAGATGAAATGAAATGTAAATGTCTTTATTCAAGTAAGCTTGTTTCAAGCACTTTTGAATCGTCCCAATTTTTTTTTCCTACCTACCACTTGTTTAGGACGTCTTTTAGCTGACATGAAGAACAAGCGAAAGAAGCTTATCAGCTCTTTCTCATAAATACATGAATCATGTCTTTACCAAAATAGTACGTGTTATTAATACAACTTATATGTATGTAACAATCGTACTTTGTGGCTTTCGGTCCTCTCTGTCTACCCCACAAGGGATACGGCGTGAAGATATAGATATTTGGAAATGACAACCTCAAGGAGGTCGATGGCGCAATGGTTAGTTTGTTTGGTGCGATGCCGAAGTTAAGCAACTTTGGCAAAGGCCGGTCATAGGATGGGTGACCAAAAATTTATAATCACAAGCTCCTCTGTCGTTCGGAAGGCACGTTAAACCGATCGTCTCGACTCTATCTGCTGTCGTTAACACTCACCAATCCACAACGGACTCGCGTGGTAGGTTAATGGCCCATTCTTCTTATTCGTTTCCATAGGGAAGGCCTGGGATCCAGCTGTGGAGGCATTAATAGACTGATGATGATGAACGACCTCATAAAACAAGCTAATTCTAGTGTTAACTTACAAGGGCAAAAATAGTTGTAAACCTTCATCATATATACTATAATATGTAGTGGGTTATGTTACTCGTATTTGACAAAACTGATATCGGTATCTTTTCATTTTTATTGTTGATAATTATTTTACCTTATGTTAAATTTATGTAGACATTTGAAACTTCCACAGAGAAAAGATGGAGTAAAGTGTCACGTAACGTCATTAAAAACTCTTTCACGAAAGATCTTAGTGAAAGACAAATAAAAAACTCGGCTTTCTAGGTTTTTGCAAATTTATAAAAAAACATAATATCCAATTGTAGCTATAAGTGTTGCAAAATTCTCTTTTTCAATGCAGTTGCTCATAAAGCGCTATTTTTTTAATCCATTGTAAACACCGAAAGTGAGTCTTTAAACACGTGTTAAATAAAAATGTACTGAAATCCTTTACTGCACACGTGCTTAAATTTTTTAAATTTTTTTGGCCGAGCACCAAAGAAATTTAAAAAAAAATTGATGAAAATATGTCAAACTTTAGAGGCAAAAGTATTTCAAGGAGCCTAGAACGAATATTTTCAAATAAAAATGTATGACACGAAAACATGTGCATATATCACGTTTAATTTTAACAAATAATTTTTACCTTTAATACATACTTAGATTTATTAACCTATATATTCGTTTTATTTCCTCGCAAAAATCATTGAAAAATGTTGTAAGAAACTTGAGCCCTCGCTACGCTCGTGCTTTCAATTTGGCCCTTATTCGTAAAACCTTACTTTCCGCACTCGTATCTTAAATAACTATTATGTATTTATAAAACTATTGTTGTTGTAGTGATGTTTGTTTTTGTGTTGTGAATGAATGAATGAATGAATAAATTCTTTATTGTACACCATAAATTATAGAGAAAATACAATTTATACAGTTTAGTTGTACAATCGGCGGCCTTATCGCTAAAGAGCAATTTCTGCCAGGCAACCGTAGATTAGACTGGACTGTTACTAAATAGACGGGTAGTAGATGGTGCTTACATTGCGAGTGAAACATACCTACATATATACATACAAATAACATATACATACCTCTACATATAAATATAATATACTATATATAATATAATAAACATATATAATATAATATAATATAATACAATATACATACAAACATTTAAAATAAAACAGTACCAAGATAAATATAACAGGATGATACGATAGCATTTCTTCCTAAAGTGATAGATAGTATTCCTTTAACATATTTTTAAAACACTTTAATGAAGGAGCGCGTATTATTTCTTCAGGTAAGGCATTCCACAAGCGAACAGCCTGAACTGCAAATGACTTATCAAGGAATTTTGTGGAGTGCACAGGCACCTGCAGTTTTAGGTTCTCCGATGATCTCAAAACTCGACAGTGCGTATCACTAAGGAACTTGAAACGTTCCTTAAGATAAGTTGGTGAGAGAGGATTGAACAGTATACCGTAAAGCAGGGAAACAATATGTGCATTCCGACGAAGTCGAATTGGCAACCACTTGAGCTTAGTGCGAAAATCAGATACATGATCATACTTGCTTTTTTTAGTAGAGAAAGAACAATCTCAAGGAAAAACTGGTTAATTGTAACTACCGTTCAGTCTCTCGAGTCTTGTGTCTTTCTCACTACGAGATGTTGGCAGAATTTCTGTGTATAACAAGGACATGAAAAAAAAAGACAAATAAAAATAGATAGGGCCGGGGTATAAGTATTCATTCCCTTCCTCAAGTGCCTTTTTGGTTTGGCGAATTTATAGTGCACTTAAGGGAAGTGGATAAAGTTTTAATGTGTGTATCAAATTAATTAATATAAAATTCGTAGTGGAAAATCTAATATAAATAAGTTTTATTTTTTTATTGTTACCATGTCTTCTGTTTCAAACGGAAAAAAAGTTAAGTAGGTATAGATTTTTTTGTAATCATATACATATATTTTGCATTATATTAATCCATTTTTAATACAAAAAAACTTATAAGTAAAAAAAGATCTTAAATAACTGTTTATATTAAAACTCTGTTATGTATAACCTTACCTTGTTAATTTATCACTGGCACATGTGTCACTCACTTCACAATAAAGTATTTTTGTTTAAAGTTCGCACCACTTTTTAAGCAAATTATCAACATGATAGCACTTATTATGCTGGGTAATATTTGTGTGCATTTTCCTGTAGATCATTTGTTATTGATAAACATTGTTTTAATTTAGAAATCAATTATAGTAGCTTCAAAATAACGCTATTTACACACTGCGCAAACTCGACTCGTATGTCTCGTGATTATGCTTATCTGTATGTACGTAACTAGTCCGACCGCAGCCGACAAGGCCGCAATGACATAAGCGGCTGTGTAAGCGGTGACGTTTGTCTTAGTGACGTCATTATTACGTTAGCAATTTGGCGGGAACTAAGAAAGGCGGGAACTAAATGCTATTCGACGTAAAATTGAAGTTTCTATATTTATTAGATTCCTGCAAGTGGCTCTGCCTGTGTGGCTTTTGCTTTTTTAGTTTACTGAATTATTAAAGTTAGATTAAATTTTCAAAATGTCGAATTTAAACACACACAGCTATTTCGAAAAGAAAAATAAACTAAAATGTTTAATAAAGTATATAAATTTAATTTTAAAAGAACATCGACAGATTCATTGATAAAATCAATAAAACATTTTTATAGCTATAGCTAGAATCAAGGCTAGACAGTTAGGTGGTCGCTCTGCAGCTCACTACGAGCTAAAATCATATGACTCTATGATTATCCAACAGATTAAAATTTTATTCCAAATAAATGGGTGAAGTTTGAAACGAAATCACTTAAGCGCATAATTTAATACGTAAATAAACGTTTTTATTACGAGGAAATATAATTAAATAAATAAATATTACACACCTACCTACCTGTCGGTTCTTAATTATTTAGGTAATCTTTTGATGGCGGATATGTTTATATAGAAAAGTTTAGTAAAATAAAAAGGACCACTCAATTTTTTCTTCTTACCTATATTGCATACAGCTGTTTTGTATCGTCTTTGTTTTCCTCCGATCAACCTCCGATACATATATAGTTTAAATAACTTTTTTTTATTTCATAATTGACAGATGAAATTGGTTTATGAGAAAAAGCTTTGAACTCTAAGGACGTTGCACCGAGTAGTTAAATAAACAAGTTTCTCTATGCCGTGTAGGTTAATTATTCATGGCAGAATGGATCGTTGTATATCTTTTTCAGCACTTAGAAGCTTATCTATAGGTCACAATCAGTGACGGTGCGTCTAGTCTAAAAGGTTTCCATGAAAAGGTTTCGTTTCGTTGAATCATCAATTCAGAAGCACGCATTTCATGAATCACTGACGTAGAAGCAGAGTCAACGTCAAGGTCATATGAAAAATATGAAACATAATTCACGTTAAGTTAATAAATTAAAGTAATTTTGTTTATCTATCTGTTACTTTTCGACGATAAACCTCTGAACCGATTTAGATAAGATATGGATATGCCTTCAAAAAGGATAGGAGAATTTTTATTTCACAAATCATCTCACAAAGAAGCGAAAATAGGTGTAGAAATTTTTTCAAACACTATTCATTAAACAACTTTTATTTTATAGATTGCGATGTTTCGGTTCTTTTGCTGGCTCTAACAGTCCAAGTCAAAGGACGATCTCAACGCGAACTTGCATCTGATTTTGAATAAAAAACGTAAGAGTCCAAATAAGTTGTGACTAAAAGTGAGAAAGGGCTGATTGGGTCAAAACGTGAATTTATAAATATTTCTCTAAAGAAAAGTTAAAGAGCATTATTACCACTAAAATTCACTATTTATGAATTTCTTGTCAAATGCCAGAATATTGCACTGCCCCCTTTTTGGCTGTTTGGAACTGAAACGCGTACTGATCAATGCACAGGCAATTAACTTTATTACGTTACCGCTTTATTACGTTAACTTTTTATTACGTTACCGCGAACGTTTTTAAAATGTTGCATTATGGCAAATCTAATAGCATTAACAGGCAGGTAACTTTTAAAATGGCTAAAACTACATCATAATCTTAAAATGACCAGTCTTCATTTACAGGTGAAATTGATAAATACGATACAATTCCAGTTATATTTTAGCTGGAATTGTTGTTCGATTCGATTTGAACAAAATTTATTTAGTAGAATTGGTCCCCTGTTCTTTTCTGTTTCTACTATACATTAATTTGATATTAACGCAACCCATTACAATAAACAGATACTTGTTGAATATTTCTCTGATGTGAATTATTTTAGAAAACTGTTATTGTCTTAATTTAGCATCAACAAATATTTTTAGCTACTGAGCACAACTAACTATAACAATAATCGATTGTCCCTGATCTATTGTTTCAAGGAGATTGGTTTCAATCAAATCTTTATTATAACATACACGAATCACGGCTTCGACACCTTGTTCGCTGGACGGCCGGCGTGCGCTTGACCTGAATTTCCCCGAGTTGCCCTAATGTACACAGGAAAATTAACGTTATTTGGACACTGCCTTGGTAATAACGGGCTGAATGTCGGATTACAACTTCTGATAGCACGCGTACATATTTTTTTCTGTATGTAGTAGGTAATTTTCTAGTGATTAACGATTTTTGTGACTGGACAAAGCTATACGATACACTTCATGTTTTCGACTGAAAAAATCATGACCAAATAACATGAAGAACGCTACGCTATTCAGTAAATAAACAACAAAGTCAAAATATGTTTATTAAAATAAACTTGCTTCGAACACTTTTGAATCGTCCAGAATCCAACTCGCCGACGAACATAGCGATGTCACAGCGTATAGCTACAATAGAAAGAAACCTGTATAATCGTTACAAGTAGGTTTTTTTTAATTAAATCTTTGCGCTATGACTATATTTATAACAGCTGTTTTTATAACACAGAATAATTTGCAACTTTCGCTCTTCCAACAGCCTCTCGGCCAGTTGCACAAACGTTAAGGTTTAATGACGCCTTTAAGATCTAATGAAAGTCAAATTTGTTTGGATATGTCACTTTAAACTAATGACATTTTTAATAGACGTTTGTGCAAGTTGTGGTTTTGTTTATTACTCATTTATTCTTACTGCAATACTGTTCTGGAATGCTTTATCTCTTAACATTTAGAAAGCTTCCAACAAAGTTGTATTTAAGAGAATCTTGCAAATAAGCCCCCTTCTATCTTATTCTTATAACATATGTATATATGTTTATAATTATAGTATGTATGATTGTATGCAGGGACGGATCGTGAATTTGTGGGGCCCTGGGCTAATATCAATCAGGAACATATTAATTACTGAAGTAATTATAATTTTGTTAAGAAACTGTTAAAGTTCAATAGTACCTAATGTAAAATAACGTACTGTATATTTTTTTTTATTGAGGGTTGAGGGCCCTTTGTGTCAAAGGGGCCATGGGCTTAAGCCCGTTAAGCCCTAAGGTAGATCTACCCCTGATTGTACGTGTGTATATTTATGAAAATATGTTATTATTATTAAAGCTAATATCTTTGTTGTGGATGTAGTGGTTTCTATGAGTCTGCTCTTTGCTGTATTGCAATAAATGTTAAATAAATAGATAGGACGGCTGGAGCTAGATCGACTATCTCAAAGCTTGAGTCAAAGGGATAGCAATAAAGCGAAATTACAGTTTAAAGTTGACATATAATAGGTGCATTCTTTGAAGGCTATCAAATGCCTGATATTGTTTGACCTTGGCCTTCGTAATCGACGATTATCTGCAACAAGCGATAAGCAATTTTTCTTTTCAGTTTTCCTTCAAATCGGATAAAGCTTGTTATAAGGTAAGTTGGAATGGCCAATTAGAAATATATTCCATATGACTCGTTTCGCACATTTACTTAAAAGTTTAAGAGTTACGGCAATTAAGCGTGAGTCGGATTCGCATGCCTCATACGAATGTTTCCGAACCATTGTCTGTAAAAAGGAGAAAATTTAATTAAATATATATTTTATTCTCACGATAGGCCATTTAATTTAGAACATAGTAAGGTTTGCAAAACATTTTTCCAAATTATATTACATAAAAAATGCCGTGATATTATAAATTCATTGGTCAGGCGTTAATATGAAAAAAAAAACTACATTTACAACTCCCGTTCACTTTAGTGCTGAGTTTTACAGGCAGGTAGTATTACACTTTTTATTATAATACATAAAATGATGTAAGCTTTAGGCGAATGTGTGTCCGAATGCACAGTGGCGTAGTATTATTAGATGACAAATTAAATTTATTCTTAATGAAAAATGCTTTAAACATCCACTTTGTCCCTGGCACTCTAAGATGGGACTCGAACACAAGACCTTTCGAGATCCGTGCGACTGCTCAAACCACCGTGGTACCGAGGACTAAACAGGACTGACTGAATCTTTCAAGCACTTTTTACTTTTTCGCTACAACAGAGCGTATATTCGTATATCTTATAAGAATATATTTCAGTGTAGCATTGTGAATGCTAAATTACATTTAAACATTGATTAAATGAAGTAATACCGGTCGCGGCTCTAGAACTGTGTTGCTTTAATTTAGTTTATTGCGTTACTTTATTCCGTCTACATCTTTCAATTGGTTTATGAACTCCGAAAAAAGATAGGATGTTTAACATCAACGATTAAGTGACATCAGAAGATTAATTTCTACTACTAATACTAGTGTTACTGTATACAGATAGTAGGTAACTATATTCTGTCTTAACATTGTCGTAAATATTTAGTAAAATATAGTATTTTCTGAAGAATAATGATTGATGATTGTATGAAGTAAACACAAACATATCTAAAAATAGTTATAAAATAGTGCATTATAAAAAAAATACCTGTGGTGCAAAATTTGTATGTAGCGTGGATTGTCTCTTTTCATGAATTGTAATTAACCGAATAGTTTTTCACGTTGTTTTTAGCATAATTCACCTTTTCTGTCCGTATCTATCTCATTCACAAACCTGTTGTTTTCGTCTCGTTTTCTCATTGTCTTTAAACTCAGCCTTAAGTGATGGTGCAAATCTAACGGAATATCCGTCAAGTACCTTACATAAGTATGCGTGGGTAGGTACGTGGCGGAATTTTCGTCGAGTGTGCAAGGTCAAATGTTATTTACATTTTTTTTTGCGTTGAATAGGCTCCCAAACTGGACCTATTTTAAAAATTTATTAACCTACGCTACACAGAACATAAAAAAGATAGTATCTAGCTCATTATACACAGATAACTTAGGTTATAATTTACTCAGCGAAGTTGAGAAAAAATACAACGACTATTTGATAGGTACATTTTTGGATTCACAATGTATATTGATACTCATGTTTTGTATGTTGCATTTACCTATTAGTATACTTACTTACGCTTACATACATTTAATTCAATTTCTTTTGTAAACATTAAAACAAACATTTTGGACAGTGATGGATATTGTATGTTGGAGATTATAAGGTTCACGCGTTGGGTTGCCTGCCCGAAGGTCAGCCGATCGATTGGTGAAGTGTAATGACCACTAAACATCGTGTCCACAATTCCTCATGCCTGCGATGGTGACAGGATCGCTAACAGACAGACAAATGACTTAGATAATTTCGTTATAATGATTTATGAGTTTACTTATTTCCCCTTATATTCTCGCTTGCTCTATGTTGGTACTAAAAAATCAGAGTGTGTAAGCTTTATAACTGTTCTAATTTTTACCAATAGAAAAAAAACACATAATTAACATTCACTATTTATTTAATTTCTTCTCATGATTTATACGAAGACCTTTTTTATACGAAGAATTGATAAACAGATTGTAAGCCATTTTGTACCCGAAGACATGTAACAATTTTTACAATACACGTTATTTATGAGTAATTAATAAAAAAATGTACGCTATCTTCTGTCCCTTTTCTCCCACCGCTGGACACAATGATAGACAGGGGCAATTTTGTGTCATATTAATTTAGCGCTTTTCTCTTAAAACTTTACGTAGCTAATCAAACTATACTTAATCATAATTAAATTAACGTATAGAATTCAAAATAAATCTTTAATATTAAAATTTAAAAGTGATTAGTTTGTTAATAATATTATACTCCCTTTGCAAAGAGAAAGAGTAAACAATTGTCACAAGATTATAGTAAAAAATGTCCTAATAACGTGCATATAACATAGGATAATCGCACAAGTTTTAGATTATTCATACATAAATTGACTTTTATGTAGACACCAGACTAAAGTATCGGGTGTCGACAAAAGCACATGGCATCGTGGGACAGTGTCCGGTTGTTACGCGTGTTGACGTGAGGTGGGGTATCGCTTCGATTGTAGAGGACGGCGCCCAAGGCCGCGCGCGGTTGTCGGCGCGCGGGCTCGCTCGCCGCCGCACGCCACATGCTGCCCACGCCCGCACCACTCGCGCCACTGGATCCGAACAAAACGCGCGCGCTCACCACCATATACGCGCCGCGCAAATTCAAACCGCGGAAGAATAAGACGGCCCAGAGCAGAATGCTCGACGACGTCCCGGTGAAGCCGACGTTGTCCCCTTTCCATCCTCTCCCCGCGATCGGACAGAAAACGGAGAAAGCCAACACGAAAGTGATCCTTTTCGACTTCAACAAAAACGAGAGAACAGGACTCGGTAGTGAACCGCTGAAGATTCACGACGTGCTTAAACCTCTAACGCCGTTGAGGATACACGGCTTCATGAGAAACAATTCGTTGGATCAAATAGACAAAAAGAAGCCTCAACAACTTTTGAGAGAAAACACTTACGACGTTATAGAACCGATTTATTTGAATTCAGTGAAAGTGAGGAAGAGAGATTCGTCGGTTCCGAGGAAAATTTTCACTCCCGACCATACAGAAAATAAGAAAGAGGAGGAACGGCCAAAAATATCTCCGAAAACTAGATTCAGAAAGGCGGCGTTACAAGTAGCGAAACTTTCATCGATGCCGGAGACAGGAAAGTTGTTGTGTTTGAGAGAGAGACAGACATTCAATATTTGCCCCGAGCAGGATGAAGATTCCGCGTGTAGGTTACAAGAGTTACCTCACAGTCCAACTCAGAAATTGGATAAGCTGTCCGAAATTTTCCAAACGTTGGAAATGAGAGGAAGGCATCGAGACAAAATGAAAAAGGAGAACAGTTGGTTCTAATATTAGAAATGTTTAATTTGTATAAGAGTTGTTCTATGTGAAGAGTTTTATACGTAAATTAATAAAGAAGCAATTTAAGTCTTAACGTGTTAAGAACATTATTTTTGTTAAATGTTAAAGTTTACGTATACGAAGATATTATTCATATTGCTCAAGTTTTCGGTGTTGTGAACTTGTGAAACTTACACAAAATGTTTTAATAAAGAGTGTGATTTTTTCATAACTTCAAAATGTTTTATTTTAATACTAGCTGTTTTTCTGCGACTTCGCTCGCGTATATTTACGTCTATGTCATCCGTGTATGATGTAGCTTTCCATAGGTGAACTTATTAATATTGATCCAGTAGATCCAGAGCCTATTTAATGCAAACAAAAGGATAGGATTTACTAAAATTACCTCTATTCTATTATTTAACAAAACAATGATAACGCATTTTGTGATAACAGCAATATTCAAAAAAAGTCTAATATGGTTTATTAAAACGACAACTAACATATTTTCTGTTTAAAGAAGTTTTTCTTCTGTTTGTTTTTTTTTTACAAAAATAATTATGACTGTCTCACTCATATAGATCATATCATATAAGCTAAGCCATGAGAAAATAAACCTGCTTCTCATGGTTTTAGGAATTGCAACAACTAGCGAGCGTGGACAAATTATTATCTGTACAATAATAGTTCATATAATTTATATCATACCTTTTAGAAATGTAGTTTTAATAAGTGTAATTATTTATGTACTAGAATTCCGTAGTGCTTTTCCGAATAAAATTTATGGCGAATTCAAATTATGTCGATAAAATAATCACGTGATCAATTTCATGTTATTGAATCATTGAAAAGTAATTTGAAATTCGACGTAAAGAAATAATAATGAAATTTCAATCACTCAAGTAGTTAGGACACTTTTTAAAAGGTTTTTTTACAATTGAAAAATTTGAAAACCACATTAATAACCACGTGATTAGAACTCCTTTTTTATGAAAACTTCCTTCATTATTTTCAATGTTTTGCTACTTTAGTCGGAGTGGTTCACACGCCGATTAGAAGGTGTCGCCGTCTCTGAAGTTCGATTCCCGGTCGGGTCGATATATTTAGGACAGAAAATGCAAAATAAATAGCGACACATTCACTTACCATATAATATTCGCAGTCCATTTTGAAAATAACATTCCACATAAATATCTTCATTCAAATAAACTTATTTAAAGTACTTTACCCCTCCTTCAGGACGCCTTTTGGCTTAGAGAATTGTATAATTTGATATGTTGTAGTTTGTACATAAAGTTTTATACATCTAGATGAAGGAACATAGCACGGCCGCATATGGTATGAATAAATAATGGACTGGCTACTTTATAACTAAGTAAATGGAGTAGCGATTGTTATTTGAAAATAATTACCTAACGATGTTTTTATTATATAGGTAGTTAATATGAACTTGAACTAGCATATGTCGATAGGAACTATAAAGAACGGAGAATTGTTTTATCCAACAAAATGATATTGGACTTTGAAATGCCCTATTAACCTTGGAAATAACGTTTTGTAAGTGGTGTTTTCGCGTGTCTGGGCGGTGATGGGTCAGCCAGCAAGGTGCCCACTATGGTAATACGATGGCAATCAGTTACCGCTGCGTATAATTAATTAATTAAATAAAGTGAACGCTTTGTGTGAGCAATCATTACTATTGTATTTTCATTCGTTTTTAATACGTTATTTGTAATTCTTAGAATTACATAAAAGGAGTTTTAATGTTTTTCAATTCAACTGATAATAAGAATAGTTTATTCATAAATTACATCGTTCCGAATTTGGTTAGTATTACAGTGTATATAATGTTTGTGTATATATTTTTATAATGTAGCTTATATTTAATCTATTTACATAACTAGTTTCTTTAATATTATTATTTTTTTGCATACACTTACGTTTAGTTTGTATGTAAACATTTTTAGTTTATATCTGAACTAGGTCGACCTGTATATTAGACAGTAGAGCTAACATAGTTAAGTTATATAATCACTACTTAATCAGCAAACATTATATATTAAATACTGAACATTATGTATTAGAAACTGATGATGTACATCAAAATAGTATAAATATTATTTTATAAATTTGCATTTCTTTTTATGAAACAAATAAAAACAGCATTTATCTCAGGTCTTTCCCTTACCACATACAAAAACACATGAAATTATAATAAATAGTATCAAAAATATACACGTACTAGCTTTCGCCAGCGGCTTCGCCCGCGTGGTCCCTAGGGAAATGTTTAGTGGGATAAAAAGTATCCTATTATCTAAGACAGCTAATACCCTATCTGTATACCAAATTTCATCAAAATTCGTTCAGTAGTTTCGGCGTGATTGACGGACAAACATCCAAACAAAGAAATATGAATTATATAATTAAAAATTCGAAATCCAAATATGTATATCGTACCAATGTTGGTATATGCGACGTCAATGAAACTTGGCGCCCAAGTCGAAACATTGGAACGAACGACGCCTATAAAAATATTATAACAATATAAAAGGCTAAAGTAGTTATACCAATTAAAGAGGGCCATGTTGCCAATGACAAAAGAAATCGTCAGTCCTGTTACTGTTGCTCTGTCATATAAGGTGCTGCACTTTTAAGGTTCAAATAATTAAATCAAAGAATCTGTTTGTCACGCTGTACCATCCCTCAAATACGAGCGCCCTAGACAATTGCCTAGTTTTCCTATATGGACTACACTATTCTGGGTAGCTCAGTGGTTAGAGCTGTCGCCTGGATAGCAAAAGGTCATGAGTTCAAATTCCATCTCAGAGTACTAGGGCATTTTTCATTAGGAATCTCTTTCAGTATAGCATTGTGAATGTAAAATTTATCTTTATCGAAAGTTAAATATATGTAAAAATATAGGCTAGTTGCCAACTTTTTTTTTATTTCATAAATAAATAGTCCATTAACATCTGAGAAATAATGTCGAAGTAACAGCATGTCTGCGATTAATAGTTTCGGAGATAGGGTGCTGTGTTTGTAGAACTGCTGCTAGTTGGCCGAAAACGCTCCCTACAAATTCCTGTCACTAAGTGACTTCACATGGTGGTACTGTATCGAAAAATGTATGGGCGTCTGGACATTTTTTGTAATATCTTTATTATTTGTGCGTTTATGTTTATAGCTGTTATAATGAAAATTGTAACATTTTTTATATCTAATTTAATGCCTAATGTATTTTAGCAGTAGATTTTTTCTACTTTTTTCAAGTTTTCAAAGCGTAAAATTTTCCAAATCAGTGACTTAAAATTTGTTTTGTTAAACAATTATAAGTTAAAATGGTTCATATTTTTCGAAGATATAACAAAAACCTGTATTTTCACTTGTAGGACACAAGCCTATTATAATAAATAAAATTGATTTTCAAAACTTCTCGTGAAAACGCCACTTCTATCATGACGTCGTCATGGCACTCTAAAACGGATATAGTTCTATGTATGCATAAGGTTGAAATCTCAAGTTCTGATATGAGTAAGAAGGGCGTGACGTCACGCGCTGTTTGCGGTCACGTGCCAACGGGTATAAAATATTAGTTTTTTTTTCATAATTAGTTTGAGCAATAATATAAATATAATAAGCATTAAAGTATGATTATCGGTAATAGTATAGGTATTAAACATTACCCGAACAAATAAATATGCATTTATTTACATTTACTGTCTTCACTAAATAGTGCAATAGCCTTGTAAAATATATTTAATTTGAATAGAACACAACAAAATCATAAGAGATGGTTTTATTTAATTTCAATTTGATCATGGCGCTTTCGTTTTCGTAGACGAATGACTTTGCTGTTCGCGTAGCACGTAGCATTATCGTAGCAGTCTCGACATTTTGGTTCCTTACTGCCTTAGATAAAAGCGTCTTAAGCGGCGTTGTACACAACGCTGACACATCATTAGAGGTTCTCATGTTCATTTATACGGGGCCAGTATTTTGTACGTTATAAAATCGTATTGTTAATTCAAATATCTAGTCGTTTAACTTAAGTTTAAATAACGTTTTTTATTTAAAACTTCCGTAAAGGCGACCTCTTTAAAGTTCATTCTGAGGACTTTGTTTCACAAAATATTACTTAGTCATGGCGTGCCCCACAAAACTTTTTGCTTTTGCCTAGTTGATCATGTTATTTATTAGCTAATTGGTGAATGTGTTGAATGACATTCCAATATCATTTTTGGGGAAATGAGCGCGGAACTTTTGATGTTCACAAAATTGCAAGGTGTTTGTGTTACGTGTAAAATAAAGTGTAACTCAATTTATTACCGTAGTAGACAGAACGTTGTCCTTTAAGAGGGTCACCTAAAGAAAATGGCCAATATCAATTTGCAAAGAATTTATAATGGATTTATAATGGAACGGTGGATGCCTGAACATTGGTGAGAATACGCTCTGTACTAGCGAAAAGTAACAAGTGCTTGAAAGATTCGTCAGTCCTGTTAGGTCCTGGGTAGCTCAGTGGTTAGAGCAGTCTCCCCGATTGCGAAAGGTCGTGGGTTCAAATCCCATCTCAGGGTGCCAGGGACCAAGTAGATTTTTTAAGCACTTTGTATTAAGAATAATTTTCAGTATGGTATTGTAAATGCAAAATTAATCAAAATATAATTTATAATATATTGCAAAGTAACATATGTTTAGTTGTTCATGTTTAAAACATGACAAAGTAATCACATTTAAATACGCAGCTTACAAACTATTTTTATAAATTTTTGACAAAACAAGTATAAGTTACCTAGTTTCTATTTTTTAATACTAGTCAAAATAAAAAAAAAACTAGTAGATAAGACTGAGAAATGACACGGGTTTTAGTATACTCGTAGGTAAGGCTTTTGTAAATGCAAAATTTATCATATTTAATAATAAAGTGCTTGATATTATTTATTATTAACATGTTAATTATATACATAACTTTAATGGTATTCAATGTGTACTTTTAGTCATTATATTAGGTTTTATAGTGAAAAATTATAAATATAAGTCGCTTTAAAGACGAGGTTTGGTAGGAGCGATTTAGAGAAATATAATGGGTTTTGTTTTATTTTCAGATAAAAAATATTAATATCGGTTTTTCCATAGAAAAACACATTTATTCGAATTTTCTTAATATTTTATATAGTAAAGAATTTTTTATATGAGTCGCTTTAAAGACGAGGTTTGGTAGGAGTAATTT